AAAAACAAAATAATGACATTAAAAATATGCTACGAGAATATTTCCATAATTATATGTAATGAGAACAATGATAATATAATGATGATAAATATAAAATATTTATATAAAACGATACGGTCCTAATTATATCAATTTTTACTTTTTTTTTTCTTTTTGTATATATATAAATATTAACAGTCAAGAGTAAAGTTCATTTTTATATAAATTACTCTTTGAAAATCCCTCTCGCTTTGGCAGTAATTTTCCGCACTCTTCCTCTACTACTCACGCTTATTAATTGTTCGTCGTCGCTGTCTACAGAACTATCATCTCCGACGTCATCAACTGCTGCTAATCTATTGTATGATACTGTAGACACAGTAGCCGAACTTCCAACACCGTTATCATTCGTACGTCTGCGACTTGGCGCTGGTTCGTCGTCTTCACTTTGTTCATTATAACGAGGTCGTTTAAGATTTCGACAACCACGCTGCACACGCACTTCCCGATTGATTTCTGTTTTACGACTTTTTACTATATTACGTTGTGATCTTTTTGCTGCGGGTACATACGATGTCAACGGTTGATTGTCGTCAGAGTCAGAAGAATCTTCGGTGTGATTACTAGAGCCACCCACTGTTCCTTCATCTGAACCTCCAGCATCTTCATCTTCGTCATCATCGTGTGCATCAGTTTGAGAATTTTCTTGGCTATAACGTGAACGTCCACGCCTAACTTCAACAGTTGTTACTGCATTAGTACTATTAGTTGTATTTGATACATTTGATGTTGAGGTGGGAAAGTTGCGTCTGGAACGAGAAGCCGCAGCAAAAAGCCTCACATTTTCCAAAGGATCAATACTACTATCTAATTCATCAGCATTTCGTTGATGTCGGGATAATAAACGACGTGTGTTTCGCACATTACTGTTTGTTGTTGTCGGTCTTGTATCACCAATGTAATTGTGATCATGCGTGCTTAAGGGTAATATTCTACTGCTAGAGGACGACGCGGCATTTGATGTAGTTGAGGTTGCGTGAGAACGTGTCATATGTGATGTACTCGCACTAGTACTAATTGCTACCGCGTGCGGTCGTAATCGTTGCAACTGTAAAGAACTTTGTCGACTTACTCTAGTGGCATCAACTCGTATTGAGTGCTGTCTTTTACCTATAATGTGTTGCAGTAGAATATTTTAATGAGTAAATATACTTAATAACTTGTACGCCCCATACAACTTACTTTGTGCACTAAGCTGTGAATTCTGACTTGAAGCTAAAGGTTCGTCATCACTACCATCGTCGTCACTATCAATCCCCCGCGGTTCTACAACTGTATTTCTATTCGTTCGCAACTGCCTAATTACTGTGCCAGTGTTAGCAGCTGCGGCAGCAATAGCGGCACGACTTGTTGAAGGGCCATTTAAATACCGCGTATTATTTGCCGTACCATTAACCTTAGTTGGTGTTGGAGTAGGCAATATCTATGTAAAAAATTTTTAATTTATTTTGTGAAAGAACATCATATTATATGTATATACCTCCTCAGCCTCATCACTATCTATCTCGTCAATATCGCTTCCTTTTGCCCATTCAAGAATTGCTCTTTTAGCACTTGAGCGTGTAGGACGTGTGCCTAATTCTCTTGAATCTGTATCTGATTCTTGTAAGCGTCCATTGCGAACTGGCAAATGATAACTATGGTCGTTTTCAGCAGGATTACGTCTTGAACCTGCTGCGCCACGAGTAATACGGGATGAGACTTCTGGTAAAGTACTTGAACTTGTACTAGGACCATTGGCAACATATGTTGTACTCTGCGCTTTGGGTGGTCGACCTTTTTTCTTTGGTGTATGCTGGTCCGTATCTTGAGTGCTTTCATCTATTTGGGAAACTACTACTGTTTCCTCATCACCGGAAGATTGGTATCGTCGACGTTGACCTCTTCGAGAATTTTTCGGATTTGAAACCGTTCTTTTAATACCATTGGCAGTGGGTTTACTTTTTTTATGTACACCATTTCGTTTACGTTGCGTCTGTTTTTGTTTATTATATTTTCGACGTTTTTTATTTTGACGACGATCTTTTAAGGGATTATAACTTTCTTCTGAATCATCATCTGAATGAGATTTTCGTTTATTTTTTTTTCTTGGAGAGCGTCCAACATTTGAATCATGGTCGTCATCGTCGTCATCATTATTATTACTATCACTGCCATCCCCACTACTTTCATCTTCACTTGATACATCATCGGCTTCACTATTGGAGCTACTCTCATTTTCTTCACTTTCATTTTGTTCATTTTCTTCGTCTTCCTCTTCATCTTCGTCATCATCCTCATCTTCATTTAGTTCTTGACTATGCGCTTTACGTCGTGAACTACGTGTAGGTTGTGCATCCTCTGTTCCATTTATTCGTCGATGTGATGATGAAGTAACACGATTAGATGAGTTTGATGTTACAACCTGTGAACGAGTTGGCCCATTTCTTCCAACTCGTCGTTGACTACTGCGTGGCTGCGAATCATCTTCATCATTCTCGACATCTTCGTCAGAACTACGAATTTGTCGATTAGATTTATTATTTCTTCGAGTAGAAGGTCCAGGACGATTTCTTTCAGATTGTGTCCTTTTCGTAGGACTACTACTTGATCCTCTACCACTATTCTTTTTGTTTTTATTAGCGCGCCGTCTTGCAGCTTTCCAGTTGCTGACGACGGTTTTTATGTGAGACTCAAAAAGAGCACTGAGGCGAAGCGTCATAGAATAAATCTGTAAGTAGAAAATGAAAGGTAAAAAATTATTTAACACCTTAACAAATTATAATAACTATAAGTGAATTAATTATTTATTCACTCTTTTAATATTCTAAATCTTACCGAGGAATAATCCTACATTCGATCGTCAATCATTGCAATGTTTGATTTGATATGATTGATTGAAAGCATGGTTAGGAAAGAAAAATATGTGATGATGGTGATTTATCAAAAAATTAATGAGAAAGAATTGATATTAGAATGAAATATTAGAAGTAGTAGATGAATTTTACTAAAAGTTCACAAAATGAATTGACGATCTTTTTAGTAGGCTCACCACTTTTTACACAAACAATGAAGGTAACACTTACTCTTGAGCGTTTGTTAGTGTTGTAATTCTTCGAGTTAATAAATATTAAGCGCACATCTTTTGCAAAATCCAAAGGATCATCATAATTTCCACCTAGTAAATCTTCCTTAACAGTGCGTAAGTCCATTGGAGTGGATATTATTTCCAAATAATCTGGAAACTCAATTGTATCAACAGGTTCTCGAAATGGCGCTGAATCTGGCCTTTGCCAAAGTATATCTAGTAGTTGCCTGCAGTCGGAGCGCCAATCGCCATCTGAACGTATACGATTAGATCTAAAAGAGTAAAAATATTGAAGATATTTAATATGAAAAGTGTATTAAAATACTTACCTTCGTGTTGATGATAAAGTTCTTCGCGCTGCTGCCGGCGTAGTAGCGCCTGTACTTGTAGAAGGCACAACATCAGAATCACGCTCATTCTCAGTTTCAGATGAATGATAGAAATCAACGTATTGATGATAAGCTGCGGCTACATCAATATCGCTAAGTTCTCTAAATATAAAAATAATATTAAGTAAAAAACTTTTTTTAATTTCGTCAATTGGTAGTACCTAATAATCCTCAAACAAAGTTCTGTGATGATGCGTGCGTGTTTAATAATGTTTGTATGTGACCGATTATATTTTTCCGCATTTGTCGCTAAATAACGAACATCAAATTGCGCTGAAGTAATTCTACGATAAAAATGATTTTCAAAACGAGACTTTATCGTAGTTAAATCAATAGGATATTCTATTAAATAAGCATAATCTGGATATATATTCAAATCAACAGGAGCCAAAAAATGTTCAGCTATAGATAAACGCATAACCTTAAATATTGAAAATGTTAAGAAAAATTTTTACAATATGGACAAAAATGAAAATTACTTGTTCAAATCCATTAATTATACGTCTACAAGATCCATCTCTATCACCTCGGTGCCATTCTTCCGACTTAGGTTGATATAAGGTTGCTCTAATTTCTTCTGGCAGTACAGGAACTGCACCACCAACTTCGTCAGGCAAACGATTCTCATCAATAGGTTCCATATCCCAAGGGCTCATATATTCGTATTCTCCGTTATCCCATCTTACACGAAAACACATAAAATATGAATTCGGAAACTCTGTCGCCAAAGCATGTCTAGATTCAATTTGACCCATCCACCAACCATCGCCAATCATACAACGAAATCGATCACCAATATTCCAATTCCTTTGCACTGCAAGTTCAAAAGTTTGTCGCAAAACTAAAAAGTCCAAGACATCTGGCATGTCATGGTACTTTATTTTAAATGAAGAACCTGTCATATTTCCATCTTCATCAACCATTGCAAGTTTAAGACAACATAAACGTGGTGGACGAATTTCATACTTAATCCCGATCACTCGAACTAACTCATGATCTCGCAAAGTTCGACAATTCCAGGGTTCTGAACTTTGTGTAAGTTTATAAACCTTTTTTTGGTTAACAGCTTCTAAATAACGTTGATGACCTTGTCGAAAATATACAACTTCGTCACCCATTTGAGGGTAGTAAGGTGCTTTACGAGGAATAACCTCTGATAACCATTCTGATGGACGATATAATTCAGATATTTCACCATTTGGAGCTGTTGGTGGTTGGGATCTTTTATTTCGACGTGATGCATTGGCTGCAGCAGAAGTTGATGCTTGCTCTGTTTCATCACTACTATCGTCACTAAGCGTGTGACGTCGGGATAGTGGCTTACGTTTACAACGTTTAGGTGGTTCCAAGTTTGGACCAGGAGTATCAGCAACCCAATCTGAGTAATCAGAGCTTTCTGTATCCGAATCATCAGATGATTCTAGATTTTCTTCTGCATTTGAATAATTTGTATCGCCAGACGTTGCGCTACTATCATCATCTTCTTCAGGCGGAGCAGGAATTGATTCTTCTTCTTCACGCACTGCACGGGTACGATAAGCTGGTTGGGAAGGTTGCCCGCGTCTCCGGCCAGCACGTCCACCATTTGCTCTAGTACTTCGTTGACGACCAGAACCCTGTGTTGAAGTAGCTGCATTAGAGGTGTTTATCATAATAGGACGACGCCTTAACTCTCTCTTATATTCTTGCATTTCAAAATTTCCAGAAGCATAAACATTTTGTCTTAAATTCTGTAGTTGAGCATATTTCATGGGACGTATATAGATTCGCCGTACATATTTCATGAGTGGCGACTGAATTTGCTGTTCTGGAGGTCTTCCCCAAGTAGTACCTTGCCGTGGAGGTATGCTATTAGCCTCGGAAAGACGGCGTATTGCTGGATTAATTCCTATACAATATTATTAAAATGTTAATGTTTTAACTAATGCAAGTAAATTCTAATTTTTTTACCGTTTCTTGTGAGATTATTTCCAGCTCCTAATTGAGCTGATATTCCTCTACTGCTTCCCGCGGTATTATTTGAATCTGGTGCTTGTTCCTGCCCTTGTCGATTTGCTAAAGATTCAATCATAAGATCAAGCTGTGAATGGTTGTTACTGGCGTTATTTGGTAATGACACTGTACCAGCTCCACCTTGTCGATTTTGCAAAGCTGCTATTAACCGATCAATTTGACTATAATTACTACCACCATTGTCTTCAATAACTACACCATCTGCCCCAATTGTAAGATTAGGTATAAGTTGATCTGTTGAACAGTTTTCTCTTCCAGGCACATAACGTTGATATTTAGCAGGATGCGGATTGCCATCAGCATCAACTAAAAATGGTGGTGGCATTAAATGTGGCATAATTTGAGTTTGTTCATCAACAACATGATGGGCTGTGTCTCTTAATAGTGGTCGATAATCGGTATGGAAAAACAATTCATTGGGTAACTGTATATAAATATAAAGAAATACTTATATAGACAAAAAAAAATTTTTAATTATTATTAGAATACGTACAATTTTGTATTTATCAGGTCCAATTCCTAGACCAAATATTAATATATGTCCATGAGAGTCTGTAGCAGCAATCATCGTACCATCAGGTGACCACTTAGCATCAAATACACCTCCATGACCCTGACCATCAATATCGTTAACAAAATGAGCGACAGAGATGCCCTGTTCTATATCCCATAGAAATACTTGACCATCGTGTCCTGCTGAAAGCAACACATGCTCATCTTTTGGATTTGTTTCCAAAACATATAATTCGTCTTTGTGTCCACGTAACACGCGGTGAAGTTTGGCAGTTTTTGAATTCCAAATTTTTATCTAAATATTTAATTGTTTATTACATTTAAATTGGATATTGATTATATTTACACTTACTGTGAAATCATTTACAGCAGTTATCACATACTTATCAGAGCAATCCCATGCTACCATAGTTACTTTAAGTTTCTTTCCTTCCTCGGGTTCAGGACATCTAATAAATTTTAAATACAATTATAATTAGTTTATAGTTTTTGAAAATTATTTATATACTTACGTTGGCAACCGCTCAGACATACATAATTTAACACTTTTCCATTGCTGTGATTCAAAACTCCATACATGTGCTGTGCCATCTTTACTACCTGATATAAAACGCAATCCACGATGCGACCATTGAACTGAATCCACTGCATCTGTGTATGCTTCTGATTCTAATATTCGCTTTGGCCCGTCTTCCGACATAAGATATACGCGAACATGATGATCTGCGGAACCTGCAGCAAGAAATATACCTCCTGGTGAAAAACTAGTACACATCATTTGCGCTTGACCCGGCCTTAATTTTTCATGAAATTGAGTAGGTTTTGGTGCAAAAGAAACTTTTTGACCACGAGGTGTTGAATATTGCCAAAATGCTATAGAACCATCTGTGCTAGTTGTTACTAAGTACTTTAGATCACCTCTCGGAGAGGGACAAAAATTTACTGATGTTATCATGCCTGTATGTGAAGACAAAACAGCAATCGGTGAAGTAGATTGTAAATCCCAAACGCGCAAAATGCGGTCTAGTGAACCGGCAGCTAACATTGTGTTATCTAAATTAATTGCAATATCTGTAATTTCAGCTGAAGCACCACGTAAAGTTGCTAATAATCGGCCATCTGTTGCCGACCATATTTTAATTAATAAATCATCGGCTCCCTAAAAAAAATATTGATATTGAGAATAAAAGCATATATATTGAAGAGGTAACAATACCGTTATAATATAACGTCCTGTGCGATCAAATAGTACGCAATATACTGATGATAAGTGACCAACAGTTCGACGTAAGAGCTTCGTTTTACCATACAAGCTTGTTGGAACAAGCAGTTTTCTACGGACGGGTCCTCCATATTCACGACCAGTTAAAACTTTTTCTGCATTTAAACATATTTATTTGAAATTAAACTGATTAAGTTTTTCAATAATATACTTACGATAATTATGAATGGGCTTAATTACTGATGAATCGGGCAGTGAAACACCATGATATCGAGTACAATAATCTAATAAAGATCGAGTATGGTATACACTATCTTTGGTGCGAAGAAGACTTTGTCGACCAGAACCAAGTAATGAAATAATACCGGGAACACTAGGCGCTAGTTCTTTATCTAAAATAGGTCCAATGCGACAACATATTTCCAATAAATGATTGTGTCCGATATGTGAATATTTATTTTCCTATAAAAATAATGAAATTAATCATTAATTTTAATTATTATAAGTAAATTTATTAACATAGTAACAGTTTAGGTATGCAAAAAAGTATTTAAGAAGTAAAAATAGTACTTGAATGCAAAGCTGCGACACATTTTTATTTAGAATGTAAACATAAAAAGAAATGTCAAAGCGCTTATATATACCTCTCACTCTAACTTCAACTTATTGGAGCAAATCATATACATTCTCTTCTTTCTGTGGTTTTACTTGAAAATTTTTTATGCATAAAATGTCTGCCATGGTACTGCTTATATGAATGACGATAATTTTTTAATTAATAAATTTTTGCAAATCAAATTTTTAAATGTTTTCAAATTTTATTAACAAAATTAACATATTTCTGCATGTAGAATTTCGTGTATAACAAAAACAATAATTCTGTTAAGTTAAGGCTATAATGCAATTTTTTAATAATAAATAAAATACTAAAAATTAAATAATTGATTTCAAATTAATTGTTGTATAAAAAATATTTAAAAAAAAAATCAATATTAATTTCACAACCCTATTTGCTAAAAGCAGCATTAACCAATATGGCGTCACTGAATAGAGAACAAAGAAGTTTTGCATAATTTCCATATGCATTAAATTTATTTCTTATGAATTATATGCATTTCTATTGTTCTATACATAATTAAAATGTAAAAACATTCAAATTTTGATTAAACCTTATGAAGAATATCATAGCAGTAAATATTGAACTTTATGCACAGTGGATCAAAATTATATTTCCATTGCTAGAAATTAATATCCTTTCCTGATGCGTATAATTAATAAACAAAAACATTTGCTCCTTTACAATATAATTCCTATATCAATAAACAAAAAAAAAAAAACAAAGCATGACAAAAATTTGAAACACTGCGTTTTGCACTAGATAGACTCATAGCTCAGTACACTATAATATACATATGTATATAAATGGCACTGTTGCTTTATCATTCCACTGTATTTTCTTTACATTTATATTCTAATTCATTTTAATTCATTTATTTTTTTACTGACTTACCAACTCCCTAAATGTCTGCTCATGTTGATTTCCAAGCCAATCTGTACGCTTAGGTAATACCTTTAAGAAAAACAAAAAATTAATTAAATTACTGCATAACCAATGCAGAATACAATTAATAATAAATCTTATATTAAATATAATTTTTGCAAGTTTTTTTTTGAAATCATACGCATACAAACGCATTATTCGTTCCTCAGAGTCAAAACAAAACACAAGTACTAAAATGTCATATTATTTCAAATAAACACTGCACAATGCCAAAGGTAAATGAACACATAATAAATTTTTTTTATTTACGTCCGATAAAAGTTAGAAATAGTGCAATAATGTAAACAAAATTTTCATAAACTAGAGCAGCACGTGGTAATTCTTCACTTCACTTAGTTGGGATATTTAAAAATTTTCTTTAAAATTGTAAGCATTTGCCGTTTTTTATTAGTAATTTTAAACTTTGCATTACTATTTTAGCTTTAGTATAATTTGGAACTCTGATATAGGAGGACGTAAAGCGGAATTTGTTGTCGTTTGTATGGTAGCGGAAAAGTAATGTGTTTATATCGGCCACAGCGATGTATTGGCAGTAAGTGATTAATGGTTTGAAAATCTAATAAATAAGAATAATATCCACTAACCTTTTTTTCTTCTAATTCCTGCACTAAAACCTGGAAGTAAAAAATAACTTCATTTTTTGGAGGAATATTAAAAATAAATTCTTATTATCACCTTGGCTGTGTCCTGAAGTGGTCCGTTAGCCAGAAACTTTGTTATTAAAAAAAACAATTCTAAATAAATATAATAAAAAATATGTTTTTATTTTAATTTATAATATAACAATATTTATTCAAATTAAAATAGCAATATGTAATTATACATTTTCGGCGTCTTTGTTCCACTGTCAGCCTTTCGACGGTCACTAACTCTAAAGGGACATTTCAACCGTTTTCCATAAATGTTATTTACCTGGCGTTACAATCCTTTCCTCTATAGTTTGTGTATTATCCATTTTATGCCATTAAATCATAAAATTCTTCATTGAGTAGAATTTTCTTTACCTACATATAAATAAAAACTTTGCTAGTTGCGTAGCCCAACGACAAAATTCGCTAAGCTCTTCACCGATGCCACCTTTTCAGTCTTTTTCATACTTTTTTACACTTCTGAACAAGCAAAAAACCAGTGTTGTGAAGTGTCTATAAATGTACTTACCATATCGAATTTAAAAGGTATGGTATTGCTACTCTTTAATATAAACATTAGGTGTAAGATCTTGTACTTTCACCGGTATAAGAGTGTAAAAGATATACTTTAAAATTCATAAATGCTTTCATTTACGGAAACAAAGAATCACTAAAAATTTTAAGAAATAGAAGCACAAATCATGTGTTATAACAAAAGTTCAAACTAAATAATTGATTCAATTAAGTTCAATAAATTAGTTCAAAAATTTCACAAAAAGCAATATTTAATTTACTTCTTTTTTCTAGTTAATTTTTCAACTGACAACGCTTTAGTATATGATAATTATTAAGAGTATCGTTACATAATTTCTCTACTTTAAATTAAGAATTTAATTTCAAATTGAACAAATTACAATGTTATTTTAGTTATCTGATTTTTGTGTGGATTCGGATTGTAAATTTAGTCTGATTTAGTAACTAAACACATCATGTGTTATATGAATTAGTTGTAATATGGAATTTTGTTTGCCTTACGCTTTTGATTTGTGTTTTATTTTTTGTTTAACTACAAGTAGGTTATGAAACAGATCTATTATATGTTACATCTAGTCAGCTGCACAGAACGATTTAAAGTATCTCATATTATCCAGCGTTAAGTTGAATGACAAAACTCAATTAAATGTCACTTTATATACTAACATATAAAAGTATTCAAACTTGCTCGGTAATATGATAAAACTTTGTGCAATAATTTTTATTGTGAAAAAAGAACGATTTAAGAATTTATCCAAGCATAAGATCGTATAATTTTTTTTATTATTCCGTAAAACAAATGATATTTCTTATTAAGTGGTGTTGTACAAAACTTAAATTTAATTTAAAGTATTTGAAAAATAAATAGAAGAATATTGATGAAAATATAAATTAATCCACGTTAATGTAAATACATTACATTAATTTAAAATTAATCCAAATTTTTTTACTATTTTTTTATTTTTTATAAAAAAAATTAAAATCAGTTGCGAAAAGGAATTAAAAAGGCACATTCACACATCTGCCATTAAATCACTACAAATTACCGAGTTACCGAGAAATATCTGAATATTCCTTACATTTTTATAAATTGTGTAATAAAATAAATTTTCAAATCTGGCATTTTGAATGTTTTAATAAAAAGTGATGCAAGTTTTTAATTGATGTTATTATATTAATATGTGAAAATATACTTTATAAAGCATTGTAAAACTGTAAACATACTTGTAAGTTTGAGATACTAACAAAGGCAGGAACAACTAAATAAAGTTTTAGGTTTTTTTTTATTTTATACGCATTAATAATGGCAAATATAAACAGTAAGAAATGGTTTACAGATAATGACTACACATGGTATGAGAAACTAGGAATAAAAATTTTAAATGCTGGTGGTAATATGCCAAAGCATGTTGGTTTTATAACAGATGGAAATCGTCGTTCAAGAAAACAATACAATATAAGCCAAAGAGAAATGCATTTAAGAGGTTTTATATTAATGACTAAGTTTATGAAATTATGTCGTGATTTCAAAATTGAAGAAATTTCATATTTTAGTTTCAGTATAGAAAATTTTAAAAGATCATTAGATATGAACCAATCCATTTTCGATGTTGGAACTGAATTATTTAATTGTGTACCTATTGAAAAAGAAAAATTTGATGAAATGGGTGTATGCTTACGTGTTATCGGCAATATAAGTCTTCTACCACTCGATTTCCAACAATCAATAAAAGATGCTGTAAAAGCCACAGAGCATAACAAACAACTTATTGTTAATATAGTTTTATCATATACGTCCCATGATGAAATTACTCATGCAATTGGAACAATATTAAAGCAAGACGGGGAACTGAAAGACGAGGACATAAATGAAAAACTACTAGAACAGAATTTATACATTTCAAAACCTTTGGACATGATCGTAAGAACTTCAGGAGAAACTCGTTTAAGCGATTTCTTAATGTGGCAGGTATATTTTAATTTCATTTTCTAAAAATTAAATTTATGTTAAATTATTGCCTTAAATATTTATAGCAAAAAAATTGCGTAATCCACTTTAATAAAGCACTTTGGCCCCAATTAACATATACGGACTTTTTCAATTATCTTCTATTATATCAGCGAAGACAGCATAAATTCCAAAATCATTAAATGGATAGCAATAATTGCGAATTATGAATGTTAAAAAATAATGAGCTGTATTCATGCTTATTAAAGTATTGTTTAAGTTTCTTTTAACTATAAGAAAAAATATGGGATAACATTTTTTAACGGACTTTGGTCACATTTTACAGCTCTGAACTTCTTGTGCTCATTTGCACATGGTTTTTTGTCAAATAAAATAAATTTATAACTACAAATAATTAAGTGTACAGGAAACGTTAAATTTTCATTTAAAATTTATTATTATTCTTATTTAAATTTTTTATATCATAAAAATAAAAAATTACATCTGGCACCTCTAAAATAATGTTGACAAAAAGCATTATTTGGGTTTCATTGAATAATAAATATTGTACAATAAAGAAATGCTTGACATATTTGGTTAATTTTCTGTTTAAAAATCTTAATTTTTGATTTCCTTTACATATACATACATATATAAACCGATATATTTATTAATAAATTGTGTTGACTTTTGTTTTTGCTGATTATGCTTCGATTCTTTAAAAGATTTTCGTAAACTTCTGAAAAAGTGACCTTGTTTATAAAATAAATTGCCCTTCGTGGGGGGGTAAGCGTTTTATAATACTAAAGTAAGCTTAATAAGCTCAATAAGAACTTATGAGATATAAATAATTGCGATTAGTCCAATTCTGATTAACTAAGTTGTACCAATTAATGATTTGGTAAATAAGATATGAATATTCTGCCAAAATTAAATAGTTGCGATGACCTGGGATTAAAAGTTGATTAATACTTTAATTACGTTGTTTGCTAAAACGGAACTATTTTTGCTTTGTTGTTCTCACTTAAATGCCATGACCATTTTTGATATCTGCCTACTTTCAAAACTTTCATAATTAAAATATCTTTTCCAATTGATAGATAGCACCTATATGTATATTATGCCCAATGTATATATCACCTAATAACAAATTTAACATTAATATTTTTCATGTTGTCTCTTAATGCTGTCTCTTATATCTGTTCAACAGATATTCAAATTATTTAAATAGTTGTATCTGTTTAATACAATTCTGGGCAGGATTAAAATTTTCCGGAGTCCAGAATTTGATGATGAGTGTTTTGGTATATTTTACTACTTTGAATACTACGCCGTAATTCCCTTTGCAACTAAATCAAATTAAGATTTTGTCGTTTCCATTAGCATAAGTTGATTTATGCATCTTAAAATGCTTTTATGTGTCAGAAAGTTTTGTGAAAGATGTTGGAACTTCAATATTCGTAGTAATGAGGGAAGACCGGTAACAACATTATAAAAATGTTGAACGAATATTGCAGGAAAGCGACGAAAGACTGTCGAAAAATGACCAACCAAAATTGGAGAGCTTGGGAGGAATTTTAAAATAGTAAAAAATATTCTTTTCATATAAGAAAAAATGTAACAAAGTCTAGAATCATTTGTCTTTCCGTAGAATATAGCGCTGCCGGTATTTTAATGTCATAGGTTACAACCTATTGTAACTCCTTAGATTATAACATAATAGGCTACAGATATTTAGTATTAAAAATTTAATAATAAAGATATTCTTTTTAAATTGAAATAAACAACGTATTTTCTTAAATCTTTGGCCTTTTACTAGTTCTCGAACTAGCCAATAAAGAAATTCTTTGCAACGACCCGGACCATGACCGAGTATCCAACGACGTATCCGTTTCGTTACACTGCAACTTTTTTTGTTCTTATTTTTTTTAGTTTGGACACCATCTCTGAAGCCCCCTCTCGCCATTCGCTACATCACTGACCGGAAGCATACTTTACCGACAGGCGAGTATTCGCAATTATTAGAAGACGTTAAACAGAGCCTTGTAGAAAGAACAAGGAAACTTCTAGGAAAGTTACAATCTTGACACGTCCTGCTACTCAAAAACAGTAAACTATTTTACATAATGGGATTGCTTTGTCTTTTAAAACAGTCGTTATAGTCAAAGATCAAAACATAAGATTAATGAAAAAGTTCGATTATATATCACTTTATATACTATAGTTATACAATAAATTATATAACTATATACTATAAATTAAGTAATAAAATAATTTTTCACATCTGGTATTTTTAAACGTTTCAATAAAAAATTATACAAATTTTTAATTGATGTTATTATTTTCATGTTAGTCACTAAAGCATTGAAAAGCTGTAAGCATACTTGTAAGCTTGAGATACTAACAAAGGAAGGAACAACTAATAAAAGTTTTAGTTTTTTTTATTTTATACGCATTAATAATGGAATGTACAAACAGTAAGATATGGTTTTCAGATTATACCTATACATGGTATGAAAAACTAGGAATAAAGATTTTAAATGCTGGTGGTAATATGCCAAAGCATATTGGTTTCATGACGGATGGAAATCGTCGTTCAAGAAAACAAAGCAAAATAAGTTATACTGAAATGCACTTGAAAGGCTTTAAATCAATAATTAATTTTATAAAATTATGTTACGACTTAAAAATTGAAGAAGTTTCGTTTATTATTTTCAGTATAGCCAATTTTAAAAGATCATTACATGAGAACCAATCATTATTTGATTTAGGAACAAAATTTTTTAATTATGTACCTATTGAAAAAGAAAAATTTGATGAAATGGGTATATGCTTACGTGTTATCGGCAATATAAGTCTTCTACCACTCGATTTCCAACAATCAATAAAAGATGCTGTAAAAGCCACGGAGCAAAACAAAAAACTTATTGTTAATATAGTTTTATCATATACGTCCCATGATGAAATTACTTATGCAATTGAAACAATATTAAAGCAAGACGGGGAACTGAAAGACGAGGACATAAATGAAAAACTTTTAGAACAGAATTTATACATTTCAAAACCTTTGGACATGATCGTAAGAACTTCAGGAGAAACTCGTTTAAGCGATATCTTAATGTGGCAGGGATATTTTAATTTCATTTTCTAAAAATTAAATTTATGTTAAATTATTGCCTTAAATATTTGTAGCAAAAAAATTGCATAATCTATTTTGAGACAGCACTTTGGCCCCAATTAACATATACTGACTTTTTTAAACATCTTCTATGTTATCAACTAACACAGCGTAAGTCACAAATTCAATAAATTAGAAGCCATAACGCTAAATTCTGGAATGTTAAAAAATAATGAATTGTATGGTATTCATGCTTATTAAAGTAATTTTTAAGTTTTTATTAAGTCTAAGAAAAAATATGGGATAACATTTTCCAACGGACTTTGGACACATTTTACAGCTCTGAACTTTTTGTATTCATTTGCACATGCTTTTTTTTGTCAAATGAAATAAATATATAACTACAAATAATTAGGTGTACATTAAACATATATAGTATTAATTATATAAAACTTATTATTATTTTGCATTTATAATAAATGGTTGAAAGAATTGAATAAAATAAGGGATAAGCAAATTATGTATCAAAAGAATTAATTAAAGTTTTTTTGTTACAAAAACTAACATCTGGCATCTTTATTTTAGAATCTCGAGAAAAAAGATAAGGAAACTAGCTAGCAATTTAAAACTATTACTAGTGTGTTGAGAGAGAAAATAAGTGTTATCAAATGGTTTGCTGGTAGTTTTTTAGTTGATGTGAAGAGTATTGAAGAGTATTTAGATTTTTTGAATAAATAAGACTATATTACGGATTGTTCCTAAAGCAACGGTTCAAATATGACTTGGGTATCTGACTACAAATATCGTTGGTACGAAACGTTTTGTATGAATATTTTGCGAGCCGGTGGGCACACACCTAAACACATCGCCTTTGTTATGGATGGAAATCGACGTTTTGCGAAAGTAGAACACATTGAAAAAGTTGAGGGTCATAGCAAAGGATTCGATACATTATCTAATGTACTGCGTTGGTGCTTGGATTTGGGTATAAACGAGGTTACAACGTTTGCGTTTAGTATAGAAAATTACAAACGATCCCAGGAGGAGGTGAATGGTTTGTTTGATTTGGCAAGAGATAAATTTAAAAGATTGATTGATGAAAAAGATAAGTTAAAGGAACAAGGCGTATGCATACGTGTTATTGGGAATTTATCATTGTTGCCAACAGATTTACAAGAATTAATACATGATGCAATGATAGCAACAGAAAAGAATAACAAATTATTCTTGAATGTTGCTTTTTCATACACCTCACGTGACGAAATAACACAGGCTGTAGAAAAAATATTACTTGATGGTGATGAATTGCAAGCCGAGGATATAAGTGAGTGTTTGCTAGACAAATGTTTATATACTCGAGATTCTCCAGAACCTGATTTATTGTTTCGCACTTCTGGCGAAACTCGAATTAGCGATTTTTTAATGTGGCAGGTATATTTATTTTGTAATATTAAATATTTTTTAATTACTAATTCTAAATGTATTGTATTTTTAGCTTGAGAGCACAGTTCTTTATTTTACAAAAGTGCTTTGGCCACAATTGACAATTTGGCTCTTTCTGGCTGGTATTTTTTCTTACCAGAAAGCTAGTATAAGTATGCAGCCATATAGACGCCAGCTACGCTTGCAACGCGCAGAAAAGGCAGCTAGGAGCAATTTTTACACAAATAGAGTACAAATATTCTTAAATTATATATTTGGTTGTAGAAATAAGTTACGATAAATTAATTTGTAGTATCGGTATTTCGTTATTCAAATTGTTACATTTTATTTCGAAAATAAAATGTGATGTCAAATATATTTCATAGTTAAAAACTTAAATATAAGTTGAATACATATTAGTTAGTCGATCGTTTATTTCCTAAAATTTTTAAAATTGTTTTGAGTCAGTAACTGCTAGAAATCGTAAGCAATTAAGTCTCGGTTGAAATCCTAATAACTAAACACATATGTTTGTTTCTATAATTTTATTTTATAATTTATTTTATTAAAAGTGCTCCAAATAAATGAAATCTATATGTATTCAAGAAACATTATTAATTAATGTTTTGTTGCAGTATTATGTATAATTAAAATATAGAAATAGCGTCTGTTCCTAATTAAAATAAATTTTCAACTAAAGTAGTAGTATGAATTATAGTTGGGCGTTTAATTGCTCTAGATTTTAACATATAAATATTATAATTTATAAATTATCTATAAATATATATAATATAAAAATCTTACGACATTAAATACATATAATTACATTTATATTACATACATATTATGCATAGTATGAATATTAAATGGAGCTAATACAAAAATGATTTAAATATAAAAAAAAAAAAAGATCACAGTATATATTATGCAATTATAAAACATGAGATAAGGCCGAATTAATTCTGCTCCATTTCTTACATCCTTATCATTTATTTATCAATAAGAATTATATATTCAAATTAAATTGTGGAGACATTTCTCTTTATTACTAGTTAAATTATATTAACTTAAATTGTATATTAAACTTTATCAGTAATTGTAAACAAATTTGTGTAATATAAGATATGTGACTATAAAAATTATAAAAATGTTATCAACTATGTTCCAACAAGTTTTAAATTATTTTCTGTGATTGTTTACACAAAAAAGTTGTATAGAACATTAGTTTTAGTTAGACGATTAGGAAAAATATCAACAACTCAATACACTTTACTTGATTTCAGGAGCGGACAGTTTTATTTCGTTATTTTCTATTTCCATTATTAATTTGTCCAGGTGATCGATCAAGTGCCGTGCACGCTTATGAACTATATACATGATATATACATATATACATGATTGTCTCTATTACAAAAAAAAACTGTTCCTGCTTCGATAATAATCTTATTCCGACTTATATTCAAAAATAAATTAACCGCATTATTTTATTTTAAATAAACAATATTTAAGAAAAACACATACATATGTACATTAACACAACTTATACAGGTAATATTTACATTCTTACCAAATTATAATGCTTAATAAATACAAATTATTATTATTTTTTGGTAAATTCAATAGTCTATCGGTGATTTCATGTCAGTTAAATAGGTTACTTCAAATGAATCTGTCGTTTCTTCCATATTTGGTCTTACTGCCGGTTGTAAAAATATGGATTGAATTTTCATAGCATGAGACATTTCCAAATTTCCCATACAGCCATGGAATAGCACATCTGAAATAATTTTACGTGCAAGCGTTTTTTGTCGGCTGTTCATTTCGTTATATTGCATGGCCCATGATTTAGCAAGAGGATCGTTATCAGTAGCATTTTCCTGTAGTTTTGTTACTGCAAGTTGGATCGGTTCATCCTCTTCGTAAGTTGACATTTTGTCTTCGCGGGTTTTCTTTTTTTTTGAAGGTGGTGACAAATTCTAAAATTAAAAATAATTTAAAAAAATTTTTATTAGTTTGAAAAATATATCATGAATATAATATGTTAAACTATTGAAAAATTTTCATAATTTCAGTAGTAACTCTGAGCCCTATAATGTCAGTATTGGCATTAATAAAGGAACTTTAACCATAAGACTAATGAACTAAATTAAAATTCTTCTAAATTAATCTTGCTTAAAACCATTAGTTCCTTAAAGAATAAGCAATAGATAACGTTATTTGATCAGCTCAGGAACCAACTATAAAGCAACATTAACTTCATAAATCCCTAGCTCATCTCAAACATAATGTATAAACATCGTGAAATCGTAAATTTCAACACACCCACACTTTACCAATATCGTTATTTATGTATATTAGAACATCCTCAGGCACCTCAAGTTTGATTCGATTAAAAAATACATAAAGAATAGAGTCCTGAAAATATTTACGAAAATTAACAGGCTAACCAACAGCGCGTTATCGAATCTCAAAATGGTTACAGGCTCCTCGGAGAGCTATGCAGATCTGAGGTCAATTATTGCTTAGTCTTAAGAAGTGATAAACAATAATCCAGTCAAAGCGTAGAGAGGGGTTATGAAGAAATCTCACAGTTAGTTAATAGAGACAATAAACATAATAAAAACCGTTTAAATTATTTTTACAACTTGAATGCCTCAGTGGCTACTCAATAACATGACAAGCCTGTTTCTTCAAGTCTGTAATATATTTATTTCAAAATTTTAATCTTGTAAAGAATAGAATAGGTTCCAGTAAAAAATAAGATTAGTAATAAGTCCCGTTGTAGTTGTATTTCGTGTTGGGGAAAGGTGAATTTGTAAGTTTTTTACTTTTTCTAAACAGTAATCCTGAAAAATTTAATACTTGCATTCATGGTTTTTTCACTTTCTAGAGAAGACCAGCCTTTACAACTTTCTTCTTGGTCGGCAAGAAAATGCAGTTTCTTGAAGTACCATAGAGTTGGTACGTAAGCTGGTGTATTTCCCGTAGCTGGTCTTTCTCTTACTTTATTCAGTTCTCTTCTGTAATTTGTGCGTATATTATTAATTTTTCTTATTACAAAGTCTCTATCCGCATCAGTATATTTTGATTGTAGAAAGTCAACCAGATTCGAGTAAGCTTCACTTTTTAAAACTTTATCAGTATATTCCATGCTTTTCACCTTCCACAAACATGGTAATTGTTCATATAATTCAATGAATGCAGACCAAAATTTCTGATCATCCATATTTTTTTGATAACAAAATTCAAAAAAAAATTACAGTCAGATATATAGCAATTCCAAGCGAGGCAGCCACACACGTACAAACCGTTTATGCAAACTAAAATATATTATCATTTTGAGTTACGCTCGTGTTGGCTTAGTCAATACACGCTCACACAAATGGCTCAGACACGCTCAAGCAACTGTGCATGTATATTTATTTTTAGAAACTGTGTGCCTCATGCCATATTTTAATTGCATTACTCACTTGGTATCTACACTAGCTAGAGTTTGGCAAGATTTTTGTATCTCACAAATAAAAATTTATGATTTTGACAAAAAATTAAATTGCTTGCAACAACATTGTCAAAATTTAACTAATATAACTTTAAGTTTTATATTACCACTAAAAACTAACTTTATATGTATACATAACATTTTCGACAGAATATAAACAAAATTAACATATTAAAATATTTTAATATTAAAGACAAATTCTCTCTTCGCTCAGATTTAAGCACAATGGAAATGACAATTTCTTTTTTGGTTTTGATATTTATATTCTTCAATGAAGCTCTAAGCGATTGTTACAATAATAGTAAATGAAAATTTTGATAAAAAAGACCCTAATATAGCATACAACGCTGAAAGGGTAAAGATAAAGAAAACATCTTCAAAGTCTTAAAGTAGCATATGAAATCTAACAGATTAATTTTAATACGCTTTGACTCGTTATTTTTGTAAAAAAATGAGAACTGTTTTTCCCCGTATTTATTGTTTTGTGGTTCTCCCTTTTTGTTTAGAACATTTGTATAAAATAAATTTTCATTTCATTTTCATTTGAATCTTTAAAATATTTTATTTATTGCAAGATGAGTAATTATAATAATAATTGCACAGATCATATAGCATTGGGAAAACAAACGCTTCTCTAAAGAGCAATATTTGAACTAATTTAATATAACTTTGCGTTTCTAAAACGCCTATTAACATAGCAACCAAGTTGTACAATTATGACAACTATTATGACAATTATTCATCTTTTAGGGCCATGTTATGCAGAGTGTCTCGGGCACGGCAAATTACGCTCTTTCGGGCTATGCCGAAAATGCATGTTAGCAGAGTGTCACATCAGTATTGCCAATTTTGCATTTTTACTACTTCTTGGTTGTGCCTAAATTTAAAAGAAAATTTAGATAGGCTTACTTTCAATTTGCCACCAAAAATAACTAACAAGAAAAAACACATAGAGGCTGTAATAGTGTTAATTTATTATTAAATTATCTTACAATAATTATGAACAGTACTTAACATTATTTACGCCTTTCTTTAAAACTGGAAAGTGTAATAATTATATTATTAGCGATTTATAAAAAAATGCTGTGTTGCTTATTGCCAGTTTTTCTCGAAAACGTACTAGAATTGTAGTAGTTTGCTCCTAAAAGGCGCAAATTTTGAAATTTATTACTAAACAACACTGTTTTGCCTTAGTGCCGGGGCACAAATACGACGGCTCTCATGCCGGAGTTTGAACGGCCATATTGTTTCTTCTCTCATTCTCAAATTTAAAATTTGCATTGAAAACAATAACAATTGTACTCATGCCGTGCCCGAGACACTCTGCATAACATGGCCCTTATTGTTTATAAAAACAACAATAGTCCTTTAAAATTAGGCATTCTAGCTCAAAATATTGCTCTATAAAACATACATATTTATCAAAAAGAAATTTAAAACTATATTGATATAAAAGAAACCAAAAAAGTAACAGTTTTCGCTATATTCCAATAGAATTCAAAATTCAATAAACTATTGAACTATTTATTGAACTTACTTCCTCCAAACATTCCTCATCTTCAATATTAAAGTTTGAACCTCTTCTAAGATGCGTTTCTACGTTCCTTAAGAAATCGAGATCTTTAAAGTAGCATAAAGTTGGTGTATAGACAATACGCTTTTTTTCACCAAGTCTCATTTTTTTTAGTTCCCTACGGTAAACTGTACGCAGATTGCAAATTCTTTTTTTAACTGTTTCAATATTTGCCTCAGGTTCCACTTGTTTTAGCTTGCTTAGCAGCATTTTATATGCTGTCATTCTTAAATCTTTATTTTTATATTCATCACAACTAATTTGCCACAATGCTGGAAAACTTTCATATAAATGAATAAAATCGCGCAGAAACTGTCGACTAAAAAACCCCGACATATTTCAATCTCGATAGTGACAACTCAACTAATATTTTTAAATGGAGTCAACTAGTTATTTTACTGAATATTAATAGTACAATATGTCAGCTGCTCCAATGTAATAGAATAATAGTCGTACATCAAACGAACTTGTCGAAGTATGTGAACGCGACCTACACACAACGTATATCAGTTTACAACCTGCTTGGAACGTATCGTATATGCACTTTATATGTAGAAGCATAATTATTTTTTACAAAATGGAATGTCAAAACATAAACATTTATATCAGCATTAAAAATATAATTAAACGGATAACACCTCAGTTACTTTTATTATTTTAATTTTTTTTTGGCTTGATTTTAGAAATTCCGACAAAAACAAATGCAGTTACATAAGGTGACCATCTCAATGAAATTTGCAGTTTGAAATAAAGTCTATGTGAAAGAATATGCAAAATGTAAGATTGGAATGAATTAACATTAAATGTATGACGAAAACGCGAAATTAGCAAGTGTTTGGTAGCTGAACGGTATATAGAGAATGTTTCTCATCTGCTCACTAGTACTTGATATTCTAGCACTTTAGACCTGGCTAATGTGCAATAACATAGAATCATTTTTTTTTAGTGTCAATATGCAACACATCTGAATTATTTTTATAATTTGCTAAACTTATATCAAACTAAAGTTCCTAATTATCCTAATCTCTACTTTGAAATATTATAACTGCATATTATAACAAAAAAGAAATTTAAAATTAAGTTGGCAAATTGGTTTTCGTTGTAAACGTTGCAGAAATCTTATATCAGCTGATACAAACATTGCATTTCTTTGTGCACGATTTGCCAACTAATTCAGCTTTTAGCAGTGGATTTTAGTGACAAAATATCAAAAAGTCATTAAATCTACAAATTGATAACCTAATTAATTGACCGAAATAGTCGAATATAAAAAAAATAATTTTAACAATGGGTTAAACAATGGGTTATTATTAGCTATTGATTTAAAATTATTATTAAATACATAATAAAAAAAACTTACGTCAAGTAAATCTACTGTTTTGTTCATGATCGCCCGACGGTTTATGGAGGCGTCCAGAAAACTCATATGTGGATACCACCACAAAGATGGTTGATAAATATCATCTCCGTCTGCTCCGGCTTTAATGCTGTTTTCAATTTTTTTCTTTTCGGCTGTATATGTTGTACGTATTGACTTAATTCTTTTTTTGACGTTTTCTGCAGTCATGTTTACTTCATCGCCAATCATAGCCATTGCTGTTTCCTTCCAGTCTACTCGTCTATAATTTTTGCAATCAATGTTCCATAACTCTTCATGCGATTTGTAGAGGTCAATAAATTTTAAAAGCCGCTCCTGCTTGGTCATTTTCAAATCCTAAAATATATAACGAAAATAAAGTACAAATGTTTGAATATACACTATTTATTTTCTTATATATATATATATATATATATAAAACTCCAGAAAAATATGCGAACATAAAAGTCAAGTACGGCTTTGGGTCAATTGTCTAATTAACGCTGACTCCAAGCTTCAAATTTGGCAGTGCAAGAGTTCAATCCCTGGTACTTGCGGCCCAAAAAATTATTCCAAGACCACTTATGATGGGTGTTTAGCAATACTCAAAACAGATGTATGGTCAGCCAAAAATTCAATTAATTAAAATAATATAAAAAAGAATATTTGTTATTGCAGTTCACTACTTTTCGAAAAAACTTCTTAAAGTTTTATGATAAAAATGTAACACATAAAAAATAAAAACATTTAAAAATAAATCAAAACACTTGCTTTTATTATATTCACTCACTTTCGTGCCTCTGCTCATATTAGAAGAAACGTCAAATTGCTTGAATATTTTTATTACAATTTTTAGGCAAGCAAATCTCAAATTTCCAAAAATTTGTATGTGTAAGTAAAAAGATGAGAGTGTTACAACAAAATTTGAGCTACTTGCCAAAAGCTTGCTAGTATAGTCCCTGCGCAATAAAAATTTAATGGATTTAAATTTAAAACTGTGATACTAAAATTCGTTTTCCCAACAGACGAAATTAATTTTGCTATATGTGGTTGATATTGTAACAAATTTAAATTAATTTCAAAATATTAATTCATATTAATTAAATATATTTCAAAATATATGAACTGTCTGCTATCTGGATAATTGGCAGCTGAGCAATTTCGTCAGAGTACAATGAAGACTGAATTGACACAACTAACGAGTTCTAGCACTAACACAAATAAAGCAGATCAACTAAATTCGACTCAAACATATTATCTATAAAAAGGCTAGGACACAATGTAATACATTATGAGTTTTTGAATTACCAGTTTTCAATTTAAAATTAATTATATATATAATTGAACAATTGAAGTTTAATATAATGTATAATAGTTAATGGTACGAAAATAATTTGTTATTTTTATACTAAATACTTATTAGAAAGTATAATATATATTCGGCGTTTTTGTTATTTATAGCTGACAGGGTGCATAGATAATTATGCAGCAAATTTATGTTGCATAAATTTGTTTTTCTTGAAGACACCCTTTGCTCACTGTTTTCTATTCACTGCCTAATTACTTCAACGATGCAAAGTCGGCCATTGCTAAAATAATTCATTTTGTTTTGATATAAAATGGGAAAATGAGACATATGAAGGGTTTTGAATATATTAATTTATATTTCGAAATGTGTAAATAATGAATTGTATTAAGAGTAATGTGTTAAGAACATTCTTAAAGTGTATATATAAATATTAAAGGTGCGTGTATTCATATGTATTATAGCGAAAAAAAAATACAACTCCAGAAGTACAAACAAAAGTGAATAGCGAAAATATACACAATTTTGTGTAGTTACACAAATTTATTTTTTTGAAAAATGAAATTACTAAAAAACATAAAAAATAAGTATTAACTATATGCTGTTTAATTAATAATCTATTAAGAATATAATTATAACGAACTATTAAAGAAAAAATATGAATTGAAAAGAAATATTAAAATTGATTTCAATATATTTTCAAGCGCAAATCTCGGCGAAAGATAGTAGGACGCAACAAAGTAAAATAAATAAGTAGCGTGGAGTCGTGTTTTGTGCGAGTGTATGCGTGACCCGCGCTTGAGTGTATGAATTCTGAGAAAAATTCACGGCATCACAGATACCAACGAGTAGATTAAAAACGGCATGGAAAGAAGTGCTATAAATTTTGACAATTGAGTTAAATAACTTTTGCCAAATATTTTAAATACTAAAGTTTAATTATAATAAATATGATGCAAATATTACAAGAAAAATGTTATAATATATATATTTTTGTGTAATTGCGTTGCGGTGCATATAAAATACCACCAAAATTGGTATTATATTTTAATTGCTTTTGTTTATCTCTTTTTTTTCTTGAATTTATTTTACATTTGCTCGCTGGATTTGTAGATGGCCAGTTTCTGTGTGGTGGTGGCACATAATTTTAATTTTGGTGTTGCACATATATTGAAACTAAATATAAAAATATAAAGTGAATTTTATTAGTTAAATATATATATATGAAAAAAATAATATATTTATGTAATAATGTAAAGTATTATCGAAAAAGTGCAATTTAAAACTATATGATATTTTAGGCTAAAAATGCAACTATGCTAGTCTGCTTAATATTATGCGTTAGCACTCGTTAGTTTAATCATAAAAGAACTCGCTTCAACAGAAGAACAACGAAAAGATTAGTATGTGTGCGTGTGCAATTCTACGTATTACCATGCAAAAGAAAATACGGAAAAGAGCACCGAGCAAGCGAGAAAAGTAGAAAAAAATTTGTGCAAAATATTAAAATTGAATAAAACAAATAATATTTGAAAAGTATTAAATAAAAACAATTGAAAAGTTTACAATAATAATGACTATAATGTTATTTAATGAAATTCATTATAATTTTACAGCAAGTACATAAATATATTGAAGCCAAGTCTTCAGTCAAATAGGCAGGGTGGCAGGCATTTACGACAGGAAAGACGCGACAAGATTGCAAGAAAAACAACACCAGCGGTATTAAATATAATCTGCAGTATAAAGAAGGTGGAGTTGTAGCATCAATTATATTTAAAATAAAATAAACATTTCAAATATAAGTATAATTTTTATTTTAAAATTGGTGCTCAAAGTAATATCTTATAATATATAAATAAAATAATAAAATTTTGTTAATAAAATGTATCCTGCACCGGTGCGTCACCCTTCGGCTGGGGTAAGTGCATATAGTGACATAAATAAATTAGTGATTTAAATGTTTATTAAAATTCTTCTTCATAATTAAAGGGACCACCACCCCAGGGACCCTTAAAGTTCACCATCGTCGATACACTTGAACGCATCAAAGAAGAGTTTAATTTTATACAAGCACAATATCATTCGTAAGTATTAGTTTTTTTATAGTTTTCTAACAAAAAAACCTATAGAGTAAAGTGCATTTCAATAAATATTTTATATTTAATTTTCTACAAGAAGGTACTAGAAAATTTAACTGATTATACAATTATAAATTTCTTACTTAATAAAGAGGAAAATGAAAATAATTTTATAAGATTTTGTTAAAGGATTTAGTAAATTTTAAAGGACATTGTAAAAAAAATATGAAAATGTGGAAAGCGTGTTTTAGGTATTGTTCGTTTCTTCCTAAACAATACACCGTAAAACCGGTTTTCATAAAAATATTTAGAAATCATGCCTACCTGTGTAAGAACAGAATTAACAAAGCACCACAAATATTACAAAAACTAAAAAGAATCCAATATAAATTTGAAAGTATACTGGCGTAAAAAATATATATAACGTACTTAAAACAAGTGCCAGAACACAATTCATATTTGGTAGTACTTATATATACGATTTATAGATTTAAAATATTTTACACAAATTAAAACGTCAATAATATATATGTAATATGCCTTCTCCCCTGTATTATAATATTGAATATAAGTTAAATACTATAGGTTTTATAAATATAAATTAGGTGTTAAATATTAATTGTTGTAAATTTTTATTGCAAACTTTCCATAGGGATCCACTCATGGTCTTTGGTAAAAATGAATTAATAAGTCCTTATATAATCGTTGATAGTAGATAACAGCAGCAGTCTGTGTCAAGGAGAACGAAACTGAATTAGATCTTGTTATATAAGTCTGTAGTTTACTTTTTATATTATAAAAAAAAATAATTATTTAATTTAATATGTTTAAATTTAAAACAATTTAGTTGTTATTAAAGTAATGACGGTGAGATACTCATTCACTTAAGTGTTCACTGGTGTTTGGCACGTTTTTAAATCTATTCGAAGCGCCCAATCGCTCCAACTAAAACAGTACTGGTACACCAAAAACAGACTTTATTAATCCGTAGAATGTTAACTTATTCACCTAACTAGAATTAAGAACTAATTACCGACTTTTGACGCTTACTCTCCAAACACTTGATCGTTACAGCGAAGATGTACTCTTTCCATACAATCCTCTGACGATTTAAACAACTTTTCCAATATCAAAAAAAAATCAAAATCATTTATTGAAGTTCTTAGGTTTTTCATTTAATTCATATAAATTTCCATTATTCTGTTCACACATTCATATATAAATAAATATATATATTAATATAAGCCAAAGCCATAGTCATCAATTAAGACCACTAAAAAAAAAACAATTGAAACGCATCTTTCATTCTAAATTAATAATTATTATAATATAGATAATTTACTATCTAAATTATATTTAATTACTTAAATCAGATCTTACTGAAAAATTTATGATATTATGGCTCTATAATAAAGACTAATATATCTTATGTTTTTATTCTTTTTGACCTATTCTAATGACCTATGCTAATCTGTAAATTATATATTAGGAATATTAAGAATCAATAAAAATCTGTTGTTTATTTATATTTATTATTATTTAAAAACAATAAAAATTGTTTGAAGCAAACAGAATTATTAACATAACAGTAAGAGAAGAGGGCGTGGGAAATCTTAAGAATTTTTTTCGATGACAAAAAACTGTTTTATATCGGAAACACAATAAAAGTTGAAGCTTCTTTATTAATAATAAATATATCACAGATATACCCTCTTTACGTAAAACGCTCCTTCGGTAAAAGGGGGACATCTAAATAGAAGATAGTATGGGTAGTATAGTATTTGTAGAATCTATCGTAAATTCTTGCTAATTTTTAACTTAACCTAAAAAAATTATTGTCCTTAAATTTATGAAATATTATTTTTAATATTGTTAGCGTAAATACACGATGAACTAAAGAAATTTTTGCATTAAATTTATTTGATTAAAATTTGCCGTTTGCATTCTAATGTTAATATTAGTATTATATTATAAATTATTACTATTTTGATATTAATATATGTTTAGAATGTAATTAAGTGCAAAAGTATAATGAAATGCGATCTTGAATAAATTATAATAAAGATAATAAAACATATTAATTAAATATTTAAAGCATATTAATGACACGCATTATATTACAGATTAAAATTGGAGTGTGAAAAGCTTGCTAATGAAAAAACAGAAATGCAGCGCCATTATGTAATGGTAAGTACTAATACTAAATTAATAATATTTTATATCAAACATTTTTCTAATAATAATTATGTTTACTTTAAATGGTGTGTAGTATTATGAAATGTCGTATGGCCTTAATGTTGAAATGCACAAACAGGTATGTAAATAAAAATGTTCAAATTTTTTAAAATATTATTAGTTTTTGTTTTATTTACTTTTCTCAATTCTGTCTCTAATATTTAATTAATTACACGTTTTTATCAAATAGACCGAAATTGCAAAGCGTTTAAATACTTTAATAAATCAGCTGCTACCATTTCTACAAGCTGATCATCAACAACAAGTGTTGCAAGCAGTTGAACGCGCGAAGCAAGTTACAATGCAAGAATTAAATCTTATAATTGGAGTAAGTATTTCACATAAAATGCTTTTAGAGAAATTTAAAACATAAAAAATATTTATACTAACAAATGAGTTATAAATTTTATTTTAAAATTAATTATAGTTAACCTTAAATTAAATAAAATAGGCATATAATTATGTATTAATAAAATAAAATGTTATTATTAAATATATGTATTTTATAATTATTAATTTAAAGTAGACGTTCAACATAAAAAAAAATACTTAGTTTAATAATCCAATATATATATCTTAGTTGTTGACTATCTCATATAATGAATAAGTACAGTAATCCCCCTATAACGTGGTAGATTGGTTCCGCGTTATAGGAAAAGGCGTTATAACGCGTATACATTATATTCCCGTACACCCCGTATACACACGTGCAATGGTACGCGAAGCTTATTATGAACAGTACAAATCCCGCGTTATATAGGGGAATGCCCGTGTTATACAGGAGATTGAAATCGCGTAATATGAAAATGCGTTATTACTGTACTTTGTTATGTGGAATATTCAATATTGCTGGAACAAAACAAAAAATATGCAAGGAAATCTTTTATAAAAGTGTTGAGGGATGCTTTAGACTTCTATGCACTAAGCTTTTGGTGTAAATTGCATCAAAAAGACCTACAAAAGGAAGGTATAAGAACAGAAGGCATCAAAAAACATAAGAATTAATTGTTTTTTTGAATATTAATTTTTAAAATAGAACTAAACTACGTATTATTCGAAAATAGTATTTGTATTCGAATATATAAATCTTGATAAATGTACCAGCCAGTTCATAGGCCGATTTTAATTTATTTTTTGTAGTTATTTTTTATGTAAATATCGCCAAAGTTTCAAATTTTATTTAAGCTAAAGTATTTGTTTATATGGAACTTGTGTGTTCCATAAAAATAAAACATACGAACAAGAAGTCTTATTTATTAAACAGTTCATATTAAATGCTTCTTATTATAACACTTGCATTATTAGAAGTTAAAAATCTCACATATTTAATTGTACATCTTATGATTCGTCTAAAATGCATCTCAAAAGAAATGTGTTGTATGATCCTACAAATTGAACAAGAAATGTAAGGCTTTTCTTTAAGTTTAGAACCAAGTTTGATATTTCAGTCAGTCAGCGTCAAATACGTTTACATTTGCCAAACTTTGGCAAGATTGTTATATTTATATGAATTCATATAAATATTCTAATTGTGTATTCGAAAAGAAATTTGTATGTGTTAGTAAAAAATGAGAGAGTATGAAATATCCACTCTAAGATCAAAATCCAGTGTAAGGGTAAGTTTTTCATTGGCAATCATATAAACTAATGATATACATAAGATTTATTAATAGTAAACAAATCAATATTATTAAAACTATTTTTATAATAAAAATAATAATTTTGATGGAATATTTAGTTAGAAAGATAGGAAAATAGTTAATATATTAGTATATATTTGTATAATACTTTCAATGAGGATTTTAATTAATTTATATATATTAAACCATTTAATAATAATTTGTTTGAGTGGGTTAATTGGTCAATTTAAATACAAAATAAAAACTATAATTTATTATTTATATTTAAGCAATTCATATTTTATTGAAACATTATTCCTTTATTTTGACTATGTTCGAAAACTAACAACTTCAGGGAAACTAACAAAATATACAATGTAAAATTTCAAGCGCGAAAATTAAAAGGAAAATCATACAATAAATATAATAATAATAATAGTAACAAAAACAACAACAACAACACAAAAAGAGAAAAATAATTATAAAATACATATACAATATCCTGTGTCATTTGTTTATAACATTCTTATTAGCCTGGGCACAGTTGTCCGTTTCCGTCTCATATTCGGAATTTTTAGTATTGAAATCATTTCCAGAAAGCACTTATTATTTTGGTTTCTTTCCTCATGTGAGATAAACCATTTAAATAATACATTTTCAATTACAGATATTTATAGATATACCAAAACATTTTTTAGATTGAGTGGATGTTGTTGGTATTTGTTAAATTATTTAAGAGATTAATTTAATTGCTTCAAAAAGCTAAACACATTATGCATTCCCATATAAAGACTATAAAACAATTTTAATTTAATTCTAACTAGACTGTTCTGGTCTATGTATGATTATAAAAAGTATTTTTTTTGAATTGTAACCTGTTTTTTTTTATTGTTGGTTGTTGTGAATAGTACGTATCAGAAGAAAAAATTAAGAACGTAATAATTAAGTAAAATTCGAAAATATTTATTTCATCAATACTAAAATTCGTACTTTAAAACCTTAGGTTAATAAGAAATGTTGCAATATATATACATTTGAAAACAGTTGCACATCTCCAATATTTCAGTTATCAAGCTGCATTAATGGATGTTACTGTGCAATTATTCAAAGAGATAATAATTATTTTAACATTACTTGTTCTCATTTTCACCACCATGACTATTTATTTTTCATAAATAGTCAAAAAAATTCTCAACATATATTAAAATGATATTACATATAGATAGATTAATGTTTATTTAAAGCGGAAAAAAACTAAATAATAGCTTACTGTACTTTGAACATAGGATTAAAATATAAAAACAAAGAGAGTGACATCTAACTGTACTAAAAACAATATAGAAAATCCAAAGGTGATGTATTGTTTATGGCTTTTTAACATAAAAGATGCTTGACAATCAATCAAAATTTATTTGGTTGCCTTCCGAGTACAATACAATCATATCTGCAGTTGACTATATTGCTCAAATAATTTTTCGTAGGCGACTTTTCTTTTATGAAGAAAATCAACTTAAAACGTCTGCTTCGAAGTCTGCTGAAAGTATCATCTTCAGGCACAGAAGAAAGTCAGACGGGTGCACGTCAAATAAGAACAGTGCTTGACTGACCACATTCGTTAAGCATTTTATCAAAAAAACTCTTGCAAAACGCAGTACGAGCGCTTTTTTTTTATGAATTAGGGATACTTTTTATACAAAAAAGTTAAAAATAATAACTTTTACTATAAAAAATACACTTTAAACTTTTAATTATTTTATTATATTTTGTAATTAACTACACTAAGATTCAAAATTGAAATAGTATATTATATTATAACAGTATATTATATAATAGTATATTACTAGGTTAAATCGAATATCTCTAACATTTAGGTGCCTAAATGATCATATATTTGCTAATTTAAGCGATTTAAAATTAGTGGCTAAATTAATTTACCCATTAATTAAAATGGTGTTCCTTAAATGATGAAATTTAACCATAATGTATTACCTATTGAGGTATTCAGTTCCTGTAATGTTGCCTGTTTAAATAAACAAAATGAAAATTGAAACAAATCACAATCAATTGTTTGATTTCAGAAGTGCAGAAACAATAAGTTTAGCAGCTTTAAAAATTTTAGTTTCAATAAGAATTATATAAAAATTATAATGTTAAAATTAAATTTATATTTAAATCATTTAGTTATTGCGTACTTATACCTATATATTTATATTAAAAAACAGCAAATTATATTGAAATGATAAAAATTAAATATAAATTAAATATTTATATAAATGCATATTGTATGTATAAATTATATATATTTTATGTTAGTCATTTATGTATACTTTCTATAAAATTATGTATAGTAATTCTAAACTGGTTGATGGAACCAAAGTATAAAACTTGTATTTGTTAAAAAAAGATGTATATATAATTATATCCATATCCTTATATTTTTAATGCTTATAATTTTTAATAGCTGTCTTTATTTATTTTACTTTTTGTTAGCAAGTTAATTGGATTGACAGCGGATGATAAGGATATATGTATTTTTTCTAGTATATTTGTGTAATTTTAAAAAAGATAGTATATTAAAATTAATTACATTTTTTTTAGAAATTTAAAATTTAATAATTTGTTAATTTTAATATTTTTTTATATTTTTTATTTTTTCATTCATGAACGTGAAAACAAAATTGAAACAAAAAAAAATTTGTTTAAATGTAATATGTTTACAATTTGTTGTTGCGAATTATGTTGTAGCATCAGCAACAAGGAATACAACAACTTCTTGTAAGTTAATGATTTCCTATTGAAATCTATTTTGTACTGTGCATAAAACTATTTAACATTAATAAATGTTTTCATTTAACTGGAAAATTTAAATTTTTCCAACATATTTTTTCTTAGAAATGTGATTTGTTTGGTTTGCTGATCTGATCCGTTACTTAGTTTGTGTTAAGCTTTATTTTTTCTCTCCTATGTGTTTTAACATTTTGCCTACATATTTCATTTAAAGTTTATTACAATCTAATTTAATTTGCTCCTCTATTTATTTATATACACATACGCTTTAAGACACATATGCTGCTATTACGAATTCCCTTGTTATTCAATGCTTCTTATGCTACAGTACAACAGGATATAACAATTGTAACTGTTATCAAATGCTTATATCTTATCAGCAAAAATATAAAAGTTAATTATTTTTCTATAAATAAAATTTTGCATAAATATTTAATTATGTTTTGCAATTGTTGTTGCCAGTTTATGCATTTCAAGTTCTTGCTTGGTTGACTGTTTTCTGCTTATTGCAATCTTTAAATACATAGTTTTAGTTTTATATGTAAAGTGTTATCTTTTTGAACATTGTACTATAAGCATTTTTCCTATCACCAGTTATTTCATATCTGCTGTCAAATCCAATTATTTTCTTTGTGAAGTTTATTATAAAATTAATGAAATTTGTTAGTTTTAGCTTCTTTTAAATATAATCATGCTGTATATGTCATTTATATCATTTATACATGAAACTGTTTTAAAACTTTTAAAAGTTAGTCTATATAATCTAATTTTTTAACATATAACTCTTTTGATTATTATTTAAAATGTTTGCTTTCAAAACTCAAAACTACAGTCATTAGTAAATAACTCAAGAGCATTATAAGAACACATACAGTTTTATTAAATGTTTAATTTTATTTTAAAAATTAATTAAAAAACTAATTTACGAGAAGAGAACTTCAATATAATTATTGATTTAATTAGATACGTTACTTAAGTTAATCTTAAATTCAAATTATATTAGAAACATACTTTAATAGTGGGATTTTGTATTTACTGTGCTTTAGAATTAATAAAAAAGGGAGAATATGTATTTAAAAAATGTCATCGGAATATGTTAAATAAAAATATGGAATGCTCTGCAGATGTCAGTCGATAGCACACATCAGTGGATAATTGTATTAAGTTACACTATAATTCATTTAGGGCTTATATTCGTACAGCACATTTATATTAACTGTCGTTAATAACATTACTTTAATCGCATAATATTCTCACCAACGTCCTCTATAGTATTTTTTTAATTTGTTGCAAGTAATAACAATAACAAGTATTAAGTTCCTTCTAGAATAGATTATATTATGATAGGTAAACGTTTTTCAAACGGTACTCCGCCGAGTTGGACTATACCCAACAGTCGCTATAATATCTGACTACACTCGCTATATTTCAATTGTATGCGTTTGCTTAATTTCATTTTTAACATTTTAACATAGAGTTTATTATTATATTATTCGATCGTTTGTAACTTCGACTATATTGATGTTCAAGAGCACTTGTGTTAAAATATTTGGCACAACGAGCTGTTTGAAGATGTTCAAATAACATATGGAGTTCCAGAATCTGCTGGAATTCCATATAAAACATAGCTCAAATCAGCTTAGTGCGTTTTGAGCAATGGAAGTGTTCGATCCAAATGGTTTGAGCATCGTGCTGGTTGAAAACTTTGAAGTATTAACACTGCGTTGAAGTATCTGAGAAACATCTATGTGTTAGATAAAATCTACAAGGATACTCATAATTAATATTTATAATTCAGATTTAATTTATAAAATATTTCTTTATAAATACAAATTCAACCTCAACCCTTTAGCTTCAGATGAGAAAAAAGCAGCTTTAAGTGGAGTTAAGTGAAGGAGTTAGTATAGTTAAAGAGCTAAGAGTATGGTCAAATACTTTATATCAAAATATGATTAAATTTTGTTGTAAATTTATATCTCTAGCGGCTCTATATTTTAATAAATTTATGAATTTTTTATAATATTTTGTATTCATTACCATGTGATTCCTACTATTTAATATCCAAATACCATTCCTATATTTTTTATTTATTTATTTCATATTTCCACTTGCCTTCTTAAGGATTAAAAACAAATTACAACAAAACGAAATTGAATAAATAATTAAGAACATTTCCAGTTCCTTTTCTCCGTAGCAGTCAACTACTTTTTATTTATATTTGTAAGAACATATTTGTGAGAAAATATGTAATAAATACATATGTAAAAATTTAGGTGGACTCGTTATATTTATTTTTAAAATTTGTCTGCATTATTTATTTGTGCAAACTTTATGACAAATAATATGACAAACTTTTTTATGGAATTAGTATTTATATTTTCGAAATATTTACTTAATTCAATATTAAATATTTATACCATGGAATATATATGTATTTATTTATTAAAGTTTAATTCATTTTATTTAGTATTATAAAAACAATATTTAAATATTTATCTTTTATTAATTATCAATCAATCAATCCTTTACTTTACACTTTTATAACCGAAAATTATTGTTTTTGTTAGCATTTTATTTAAAATTCTTTATGCAACATGTACAACATGTGGGCAATGTACGTGACAGGGGTGTAGTTCTCTTTGAGTGTTTAATGCTTCGATATATATAATCAATTTAATTCACATTTACTTACTTATAAAATGAATAATCATTATAATTGTATGTGTTCCTATATAAAAGACAACTAAGATCAAATGTACCCAATTCTCATTATTCTTTAATTAATTAATAAATTTTTATAAAATCATTAAACATATACATTAAATTTCAACATTCCGAACTAATTTTTTCTTATTCTTTATAGCAACAAATACATGCACAAAGTGTACCCGGGGGACCACCACAACCAATGGGTGCTTTAGGTCCACTAGGTGGACCATTTGGAGCTTTGGGAGCATCAATGGGATTGCCACATGGTCCACAAGGGTTACTTAAAGCACCGCCAGAACACCATCGACCCGACATAAAACCAACTGGCCTTGAAGGTCCAGCAAGCGCAGAAGAAAGATTGGTATGTGTTGTTGTAATTATAGCCTAACAAAAATATAAAGTTTTTTAACATTTATGTTCTTATTACAGCGTAACTCAGTATCCCCAGCTGATCGAGAAAAATATCGTACGCGTTCACCTTTGGATATAGAAAATGACTCAAAGCGTCGAAAAGAAGAAAAACTACAAGTGGGTATCTATGTTGTATGTACTGTTATGTTAATACACACAGATTATAAAAAATATAGTTGCAATTAGTATGTAAAAAACTATAAAAATTCAAAATTTATTATTTAAAAATCAATTTAATAGCTCAACTCACCATTGCGACAGGGATCATATTGTTGTAGTTGTAGTGTTTACGTACTTTTGTTGTTTTTATTATAAATAATATTTCTGTAGTTTGTAGTGTACTTTGTCCCTTATTCTCTCACTCGATCTCGCTATTTCTCACTTTATTTATGCTTAAGTGCTTTTGATTTAATTTGGTAAAAAAATGGAAAAAAGTTCGCTGTTAACAATTTTTTATTTTTCAAAATTTTTCCAGGAGGATGAAGGAGAGAAAAGCGATCAAGATTTAGTCGTAGATGTTGCAAATGAAATGGTGAGTTGAGTTTGTAATGTCAAAAAAAGTCAAAATTATATTTATATATATATAAATTCCATAAACACAAATATATATATATATATATTTATATAAAGAAACTTATTTAATGTATACATATAAATATATATTTATATATAAATATTCTTAAATACATGTATATATAGTGAAAACTTTCTTAATGAACAACGGCGAGACATTAACTTTGTTCAGTTAAGTGAACTATGCGTAAAAAAAAAACGCACAAAAAAACATTCTTACAATATTGTTGTATGATTAATAAAGATGTACGCTTATGAAAACGCTTATTTAAGTAACTTAATAGAGGTTTCACTGTATATTATGTTAATTATATATTAAACTTATTTTTTCACTAACTTATGTTGTTACTAACATGAGTAATTCATTTTAAAACTTAATTAATAATTTTTAAAGGAATCACACTCACCTCGGCCTAATGGTGAACACTTATCAATGGAAGCGAGAGATAGGGAAAGTCTTAATGGTGAACGTTTAGATAAACCTGGCAGCAGTGGTGTGAAGCCACCAAATGATAGACCACCATCACGTTCTGGTTCTAGTTCTTCTCGTTCAACTCCCAGCCTTAAAACAAAAGATGTAAGGACTTAAATTAATTTTTTGGAGTATTTGTAATTAACTAAAATATAACTAAAATAATTATTGTTTTACATAGATGGAGAAACCTGGAACTCCAGGTACGAAGGCTCGTACACCCACCCCTAATGCTGCCGCACCAGCTCAGGGCGTAAATCCCAAACAAATGATGCCACAGGGTGGCCCACCATTAGCCGGCTACCCAGCCTCCCCTTATCAACGCCCAGCTGATCCTTATCAAAGGCCACCATCCGATCCGGCATATGGCCGACCGCCACCATTGCCGTATGATCCACATGCGCATGTACGAACAAATGGCATTCCACATCCCTCAGCATTAACCGGTGGAAAGCCGTAAGATATAAATTTTAATTTTTAAACAATATAATTGAAATAATAAATCAAACATTATTTTTTTTTTTTAGCGCTTATTCGTTCCACATGAATGGCGAAGGTAGTCTACAACCAGTGCCGTTCCCGCCAGATGCACTTGTTGGTGTTGGTATACCGCGACATGCACGTCAAATAAACACACTCTCACACGGTGAAGTTGTATGCGCCGTTACCATTTCGAATCCAACGAAATATGTTTATACTGGTGGTAAAGGTTGCGTAAAAGTCTGGGATATATCTCAACCAGGAAACAAAAACCCAGTTAGCCAATTAGATTGTCTGCAACGCGATAACTATATACGCTCAGTTAAATTATTGCCTGACGGTCGCACTTTAATTGTTGGAGGTGAGGCGTCTAATCTTTCCATATGGGACTTGGCCAGTCCGACACCACGTATAAAGGCCGAATTAACATCAGCTGCTCCTGCCTGCTATGCTTTAGCTATCAGTCCTGATTCAAAAGTATGCTTCTCCTGTTGCAGTGATGGCAATATCGCTGTATGGGATTTGCATAATGAGACTTTAGTACGACAGTTTCAAGGTCACACCGATGGTGCATCTTGTATTGATATAAGCCCAGATGGTTCACGCTTATGGACTGGCGGTTTAGACAATACAGTGCGATCTTGGGACTTGCGAGAGGGTCGACAACTGCAACAACATGATTTTAGTTCTCAAATATTTTCTTTGGGTTATTGTCCAACAGGTAAGAACAATTTATTTATAAATATATATCAAAAAAATAATATTAGACTTATTTGTTCAACAAACTAGTAATATTTTTGATTATGGAAAATTTCATGAATTCGGTGAAAGTAGAATGGGATAGAATAATGAAGTATTTTAAAATTTAATCACAGAATTTTTCTACATTAAAATATTATGCACGTTTTATTGGTATTTATTGAATACAAGGATTTGAAAATAATTTTTAATAAAGTTTATATTGGCCGTTATTATTTATAACGTATTGCCTAATTGCGGCCTAATAATTATATCGGGTAGAACTTCTGTGGTTTTTCAGCGAAAAACTAAACTAAATAATTTTCAGCGGCTCTTTGGTTGGCCAATCTTATACTATTAAAATAGTTTTATATAGAACGAAAAAAATTGTAGTCAGATGGTGCAAAGTACTGAGTTTACGGTCGCTGGTTCAAAACTTCTCCACCAAGTTCCGTCCATATTATCTGAGTTATCGAAGAATCAATTCTGTACGTTATTTGCAAGTTATAAATTTCGTTTTATTGTTTCCTTGTTAATTATAAACTATATTTCGCTTGTTAAAAGAAATAAATGGGTTTCATATTGAAGTTGCTATATATCAACAAATTTGCATTTTTAGGTGAGTATTGTTTCACTCAGGATGTTATTACTCTCTACCATCTTCCATTTATGAATACAATAATATTTTACAAAATAAAACTCTGAAATCTAAAAGTAATGAAACTCTTATGAACAAAAAATGTATTTTTCTTGCAATTCTTCACTATAGTCTTGATGTTTATGTGAATACCACTTAGAAAGTGGTCATTTAAATACCACGTCTTTAAGGTCTTCCAGAAATAGAAACATTGAATCCACCTATCAACCACATCAGCCCCACTATAGTTTGAGTTGTAAATGCTATCGAGTCTCTGTTCATGTTCTGAGGCCGTTTGTTGTTATTTTTGTTGTAACCAGAAGCGACCTGGTGTTTTTGTTTTTGTTGGTAGTAGCGTACGATACTTAAGACACAGTTTCTTAGATAGAATAGCTTCTTTATAACAACAACATTCAATTAATCTTTATTTATTCGTTTTGTAACTTTGGATTAAGTGTGAAAATCTAATTTATTAATTTTGTATTTATTTATTTTATATTTATGTGTATGTCCATAAAATATATTGTATTTTGTAGGAGATTGGCTGGCAGTTGGTATGGAAAATTCACATGTTGAAGTATTGCATGCATCTAAACCAGACAAATATCAGCTTCACTTACATGAGAGCTGCGTGCTATCTTTACGTTTCGCCACATGTGGCAAGTGGTTCGTGTCTACAGGCAAAGACAATTTGCTCAACGCTTGGCGAACACCATACGGAGCAAGCATATTTCAGGTAATTAATCTATTCTAAAATATTATATAGAATAGAAATGTTTTTGGTTAATATCTAATTATATGAATTAAATGATGCAATACTAATAATTAAAACATTTTTCAGTCAAAAGAAACATCATCGGTACTTAGTTGCGACATATCAACTGATGACAAGTATATAGTGACGGGATCAGGCGACAAAAAAGCAACGGTCTATGAAGTAATTTATTAATATTGTAATTATTAATTAAATTATAAAATTACAAATGGCAAACAATAGTAATATAAACAATTAAAACACATTAATTATGAAAATAGTTGCACTATATGATGAAGAAAATATCAAAATTACAACAAACAAAAAAACTTAAGAAAAAATTCGAAGTTACAGAGCAAGAGGTAAAAAATTGATTATAAATAAATTGTAGGTAATAAGTAATTTTAAGTTTAAAAAATAAATAATAATAAACAGAAACACAAAAACTCAATCCAATGAATACATGCATATATAAATATTAACATTAAAAACAATACATCAGAAAAAAACATGTATTCTAAATATAAATATTAAAAAAAGTAATTTAAAACGATAAGATGATGGCGAACTTAGTGGGAAAAGAATTATATATATTTAATATAAATATATGTAACGTAATTTTAAAAATAATATTTAAAATCCAAAAAAAAAACTATTGATTTTAAAGGATTTCTTATGTTCAGGGATTTTTTTATTGCAATCTCCTTTCTAACAAATTACAAACTGTTAACTTTTTTCCAACAACTTTGATGTTTTAAATTAATTTTATTTGTTTCAAATTCAAACCTGCAAAACTGTTAGCTCTCGATAAAATTCTGTCTATATAAATAAGTAAAATGTTTATCATTATGCGGTTCAAATTAATACTATTCATATTGTACCATTAACAACAGAAATATTAATTTTATTTGTAATTAATTGCAATTAAAAAAAAATACTATAATAATTTGATCTTGTACAATTTTAATAATTATTTCATACATTTTTATATATAGTAATCGCACAACTAATGTTATAATTAACATTGGGGCCGGGTCGTTACGACATATGTACACTAATTATCTAACTAGATAATGCGTTTTAGTTGATTAGTAAAATATAGGATTATCAACACAAATTTTGTGCGGTAAATAAATAATTATATTTTTCGGATTTTCGTTTAAATTTTAATTTTGTTATTGGTTCGATTATATATTTTAAAATATGATAATTTTCGCATTATATTAAAAAAGTACATACAATTTACGAAAACATTTTACAAGTATAGATACAGTAAGGAAAAAAAAATGATATATCATTAATATCATTAAAATAAATAACAAAAAGTTCGTATAAATTAAACAATTTTAAGAAATTATTTTTGTTTTTCACTGAATAAAACAAAAACAAAAACAAAAACAAAAACAAAAACGCATACAAATTAAAACAAAACAAAGTTCAGTAGCAGTAATTAACTTTGTCAGTTGCAAAAAAAAAAAATAAAAAATAAAAAAAAAATAAATGAATAAAAAATTAAACGTTAGTATATAAATAAATATATATATAAAACATGAAACCATTTTTGCAAAACATTTTTTTTTGCTTTTGCTATCACAAGCATCTTATTTAGTATTTAAGATAAAAGAAATTTAGGTACATATAAATATATATATAAATTTAAGAAAATCAAGTAAAAACTATATATACAAAATCTGTGTACTTTTATTATTAATTAAATTTTGATTTTGAAAATATAAAACATAAATCCTTGCTGCTCCTTTTACAAACTTTAAATTTCGTAACTTTATATTGTAAACAAGCAAGGATTTGTTTTCAATTTTAAAAGTTTTATTAATGTGGTTATCTATGTATATAATTATATTATATATTAAAAACAATAAAAAATATGTGTAATCAAAGTAATATAAACTAAAATACCACAAAGACAGATTTTATTTTACTTCCATTTGTTGTTTTTTGTATATACGGTTTAAAGTTTTTTTTTAGAAATGCCATTTCTATTCAGGAAAGCTTAGCAATTCATCATGAATCGTTTAACGCTAGAACAACGCTTCCAAATTGTGGAACTTTACTTTGAAAAAAATAAGTCTGTTCGCGAAGTTCATAGAGTGCATAGTGTTTAGTGATGAAGCTTATTTTTGGTTAAATGGCTAAGACAGTAAGGAAACTTGACGTATTATGGAGCGAAGATAATCCTCGAGTGTTACCGAATCGCCATTGCAATCATTAAAATTGACTGCTTGGGTTTACACGCTGACGGCATTATCGGTTCTTATTTCTTTCAAAATGAAGAATGAGTTGCTGTGATGGTGAATGGCAATAGTTTTGTTTCCAAAAATTTAGAAGTTAAACATCGACGACATTTGGTTCCAAAAAGATTGCGCAAATTGCCATACAGCGCTCTTAAAAATCGATTTATTGCGAAATCAATTTGGTAATAACTTTATATCCAGAAGTGGTCCTCTGTTAACTGGCACCCTCGTTCGTGCCATTTAATGCCTCCCGATTACTTTTATTGGGGCTATGTTAAGTCCTTGGTAGATACTATGAAATTATCTACCAGATTATAATAAAAAAAAATTAAATTCCCACAATATTTCTGTCCTGTATTACAGCTAACACCCTGCACAAATCGTTATTGTATCAGCGCCAACGTAGTTTTAAGGAGGGTGGACTCAAACCGACTAACAGGACTGATAGGGATAGGGTGCAATCTATAAAGGTAATGGCACGATTTTTCTTTTTGTTTGATGTCAGCTGTGGTAACTAATTGTCAAGAACCCCACCTTAAAACTAGCGAGCATGCTTTAGTGCCATATTAAGCATCCAGGACTACATCAACACTGTCGAGGCTGACACAATAACCATCTTTGAGTGGATCGTATTCTCTTCTTTCGCTGTATGTGCAAATTAGATTGATGCTGGAGCACTTAGTTTTACGGTTAATTGTGACTATCTACTAGTGTAAACTGGGAGATAAGTTTAACCAGTCTACGTCCCACTACGAAATTTTCACAAAAGACATCTGTAGCTATAGCAGATGTCACAAGACTAGCGCTTTATGTAGCACTGTCCTATATTGCTATGAAGACTGTCATATATTTTTCGATGACAGCAACCATTTGAATAAAGTATTCATACTTTTAGGAAATTTTAGAATACACCAGATGTGCATCTTTAAATCGAAGTCCGTAAAACTTTTGTAAACTTTGTTAAAAAAATTGAGGGTTCTTTTAAGTATATAGTTGTGTGATTTACACGTATTTATTTTACATTTTGAGTTTCCAACCTATAAACTCAAAGCCTAAAGTGTTTCGCTGCATATATTACTGGTTCACTAATTACTTACGTTTTCCTGGATCACGCTAGCGTTCGCCGAGCTGAATGCGATTAGATACCTTACTTTTTATACCAACTAAATATAATTAAAGAAAAATGACGCTTTTATTAAGTTACATACTTAAAGGCTTAAAGGAAGCGTAAATATTTACTAATGTAGGCAATCTGCATCACTGCGTTATAAATTAATTAACGATAATCCCCTAAACTTCAACAAAGACCTATAATAATATTTAGTTTATATCTATTTTATTTACTATTCTTTATACATAAGTTATTTACTTATCTAACAGTAATATCACACTGTTGTACCAAAACCTAAAAAAAGTAATTTTATTATGTATTATATTACATACATTCTCTGTGTTCAAAATCGAAAGTCGTTCTTTGTCTTTTGTGTTAAGAATTCTATTCTGAATAAGCGAAATTGGAATTGTTCTTTTCGTTATATTTGGAGAAACGTAATTTACAACATTTGTGGATTGTTTTTTATTTATTAAATAGGGTGCAGCATGTTTAGCTGACTGATCACAGTCACCGAAATTCTTATGACGAGAAAAATTCGTGATTCATTAAAAAAATCAATTAAAAATATATAGTATAGTAGCTACTACGTGGATAGAATACCATTATTCTTTACATTACTTCGGGTGTATGTTAATGGAACCATTATTTTTATTTATATATTATAGACAAGATTGCAAAGGTATCTATTAGTTTAGCTCCATATTAGTACCAAATATGCATTAAAATTTATAAATGCTATAAATGTATTAAATTATGTATTACTTAATGCATTAAAATTTTAAGTTATAAAACAGCAGATATATGTAAAAACATATTTTCGCTTGTCTTTACTAGATAAAGGTAGCATATATTGGCTGTAATATCTATAAAATTGCGGAAAGGAACTTAAGCTACTTCCTTAACAATTTTAATGCTCTACTAAAATAAATGGGTTGTTTCTCGGTTGCATGAAATTTCCCACCGAATTTGAATGGCTTTTCTTTACTGTTTTTTTAAACATTAATTGTAAGTTAAAGGAATATTGCTACCTTTTGTGTATCATATATAATAACAACATGAATGTTCTTCCTGTCAAGCTTGTTATTGTTGAATAGCTTTTTGAAGCTGTATATAAAAAAGTACTGTCAAACTTCCATAACTCGAAGTATTAGAAAAGGTTCGACTTACGGAGACTTCAAGAATTTTTTTTTATACTAGATCAATAAAAACAAAATATTTAATAAATTTTTAATTATTATTATGTGGCAAAATTGTGTAAATAAATTATAAAAAAATTATTAAGCGTTATACATTTATATTTTATTTATAAATAAAATATATGTTTAAATCAGAAATGTAGATTCTATACTAATTACTTTTTTATCAATGTAATAAATATATTTTATTTTAAAAAAAGTACGTGTATCAACACCGCTTATAGTAAACGTAGTAGCTTTCAAACATAAAACTATAATGTTAATTTAATTAATTATTCTTTCATAAACTTTAAAATTTTTATAACTTAAATGCTCAGTTCAATACAATATCCTTAATGCAGTTTCCAGAAGTTTTGAAAAGTTCAGTATAATGTAATGTAATTTTTTTAATAAATTAAAAATATATCTTAGTTTTAACTAATCTTTATTAAATTGCTGCAGTTATAAATTGAAATATTTAATATGTTTGTGAGAAAGTGATTGCAATTTTCTAAACATTATAAGTTTGTTTCACTATTTACTTACATACTTGATAAAAATTATTTATACTATAAAAAATAGTTTGATTTTATAATAATAAATGGAATTTACTTTCTCACCAATGAAATCAAAAAGAAACCAATTTTGTTTAAAATATATTCTTTAAGTGACTTAAAGTTTAAAAATATATATAAAGTATAAGATATATAAAGCTCTTGGAAAGTTTAAACAATATATTATTTGTACATAGTTATAAAAAAAATTAAATTCGAATAATACAATTAAAATAAATCAGTTTGATATATGCTGCGCTGTTTAGGCACTGGTGCTTGTTGTTTGCGAAATTGTTGTTGCAGTTCAAGTAAGAGTTCACATTTGCTTTTAGATATTTTCCGAAATTTTTCAATACATATCGGCAATAATTCTTCAAATAAAAATCTTTTATTTTTTACCACAAAATTAGGCTAAAAAATATATTAAAATATATTAAAATATATTTATTTGACTGATTTAAATAAGCCATTAAAAACTTACGTCGACATTCAAACCAGTGGCGGGTTTAACCCCCTGTTGCGCCAGTAAAAGATCTCTAAGTAGCACTTCTAAACTCGGTGAAAGCACTTCACTTTTCGCTAGATAGCCACAGTATTCGGTTAATTGCAAAAAGTGTCTAGTGAACGCCACAGTGGTTTGTGTTAAATTGATCCATGTATCACCAGTGGTTTGTGCGCGCATATCAATACCGAGGACTTCCAATTCTAATAGTAAACGTTTTAAATTGGATTTTGTTTGCAAATTGTATGGCTGCCAAGGATCTTCAGTCCGTCCGACGGTTTCCAAAAGCCGTTTACGTGATTCTTCAATTAGCTGCGATAGCGTACCACGCAGTAATCCTTCAAGTTGATAACCCAGATCAAGACCGATTTCTGTTAGCTAAATAAATGATTTTCGGATAACAATTTTTCATTATATTGTATAAAAGATATAAAAGATAGTCAAACAAACCTTTGCGCACGGTTTACGTATGCCTTCCATACATTTTGCGATAGTTTCTAACTGCGTGCCCTTTGTAAGGTAATGTTTGATAAGTTGACTAGCAAAATATTGCAGTTCCGTATTGCACCAAACTACAAGCACTGTTAAAAAAAAATTATAACATGTAACGACACTTAAATGTATTGAATATTTATAAAATATTATATGATACTCAGCAAACTATGTATTAGGAAGGTTAAAAAGTTTTTGACTTTACAGGGATGGTGATTCATTAAAAAAGCCATTATTTATTTATAAATTACTATCCTTTAAAATATATATATTATGTTGTTATTATATATAGTTGTGTTTCTGAATAGGTAGTACTATTTCAGTGACATATTTTAAACATTACTGTCGTCCAAATTAAACCCTTACAGGCGTGTTCTGAAGGTCTGACTTCCAGGAACAAGTACTATATAACATATCTTCAAAATATACTAGAGTTTCAACAATGCAATGCTCTACCATATCTAACATTTAGTAACTATTTTTGTTGCCTAAAGTTGAGAGTTGATTGGATGTTCGAAAGGGTCGCGTGATAACTGTAAGATCTAGTAACATCACTGAATAAAATGTTTAGTGAAAAATGTTCGAATACGTAAAGAAATTAATTTTCTTTCAACAATGCACAGGCTTACACCCCACAATATTTAACATTCAGTAACTATTTTTCTTACGTAAAGTTGAGAGTTGATTGGGTTCATAATGAAATTCTCATCAAGAGGTGCTAAAAATTAAAAAAGGATATTTGAAATATCTTCAAGTATTACATTATTTATAGGGGTTATAACGGTTTACTCCCCATCATGTACGAGTATTAAGTATTGGTTAAACTAAGGGTGTGTTCATGATGAATTGGTAAATGGTAGAATAGCGATGTGTATCGAGATATTATAATTCTATTGTTTTATATATAATTGACTCAAAGCGAATTGTAATAATAAAAATCTACATAATTTTAGATGTTTAACTGATCTATATATATATATATCATTATAAATTACTCTTATACTATAGTTTAAATATTTGGTGTTAGACTAAAAATCTACGAGAATTGATATTTATTAGAATTATTTTGTACATTTGTTATATTATATACTTACAGCTAACACACGCTGGTTGTGCTTCAAATGCAGTCATAAATTCGCAAGCCACTTCTGCTAAATCACAAAAAAATAACTCTGATATCTCAACATTATTACGACGTGCCTCTCGTTGTGCATTGCGCAAAGCAACGGAACATACTTTTAATAGCGTACAACTGGCCTGTCGTTGTTGACCCATGTCCACTAATATTTTGAGTGAACGTCTAGTTGCACGTAGAGCTACTTGCAGATTACGACACTGACTGTTGGATAATTCTTGCAGTAGAACGTTGGTTAAATTTGTTTCTAGTACCTTTACTTTAGATTGAATCTCGTTTGCGTGCAAGAAGGTCTTATCTTTTTTTATATATTCTTGTGTACGTTTGATAAGTATTTGGGCATCCTCAAAGTGTCTTTGAGCAATGAGAGTTTGAATTTCTTCACTTGCAGTAGCAATCCATTCAGGACCATGATTTTCCACTACTTTGCCTGTTTGGGATTCAGTAGGACTTAGATCGGATTGTAGTGATTTTGTGTCTGTTGGCGATTCTTGTTGCATGGCTGAATTCCGTTTTGATTTAGGCGGTGGCTGTGGTGCTTGCCCTTTTTTATTTTTCTTCTGTTGATCGAAGCGAAATGCAATTTCCAACTGTTCTATCCATTCAGTCTGAATAAAAAAAAATTTAGAAATTAAAAATTTATAGAATACATCACCATTTTAAGATATTAAAATTACTTTGCCCGCTGCGGTTACACTCTGAAATATCTTTGAACCATCTGGTGTAATAATGTTTATAGCATTCTTTACACCATCTAAATCCTTAATGTTAATTACTGCAATTTTTTTGGGATCATACTCTGTTAAAAACTCTAAACGCCTAAAAAGTTGTTAGGTTATTAAGAATTGAGAATGGTTACTGATTTATAATAGCTTACTTGTCATGTTTTACTTTGCAAACAATCAAGACATCATTAAACAAAAAGAAGAATACGCGTTGTATGGGTCTGTAGTCATTTGAATCTAGCTCTATCAACGCGCCTTCATTTAGAAAAGTTTTACCTTCGAGGTTACCGTTAAAGCCCTGCACCATTTCTTTAACAGCGCGTGTTGCATGATTATTCTCCATTTCATCTTGCGCCTGACTTTCTTCACCATCGCCTTCTGTTTTATTTTTAGTTGAACCCTTCTCGTCAGTAAGGGAGGACAGTATATTACGTTGCTCATTGAGTATGTGCGAAAGCTGATACATTTCAGACTCTAGATCTAAACATGATTGATTATTAAATGAATTGAGTCATTAGTATTCCAAACATTGGAGTACTTACGTGATATTTCTTTGGCTGTCTCAATGAACTGCATGTAGTTGGCATACACCGATTTTTTTAATGTGGCAGATGTTTGATCACTATACGCTTGTATATCACGTTTTCTTTGTGCTACATCTGGACCACCAATACATTCTTTGACCAACTGTTTGGTGTCTGCATTTAATAAAATATTAGTAAAAATTAATTCAATCGTATGTGGTACTTACATTTTTCCACACTAAAATCGGGTTTGTCAAAATCTTTCATTTTATCTGCCATTTTTAAACAATTGCTTGCGATATGTATACAATTTTACTTTTTAATATACAATAATATAAATTTGTATGATTCCATCAACACAATTAAGTTCCACAAAACTGAAAATGAACACCCATCGTTGCATCAGCTGTTTGCTACTTAGTTAAGTGGATTGTAATACACAGCTGATTTGTGGAAGGCAATAATATTAATCTGGCGCTTATAAGCAATACAATTCAAATTTCCAAATAATCGATTAGAAAATATTAAGTAAATTCATAAATAAATACTAAATCTAGTGTCACATATTAAACAAAGTTTTTATTAATACAAGAAGTTAATTATTAAATACTTTTAGCTCCTATAGCCTCATGAAATCATGTATTGACTTATTTTGCGATAAGTCAATAGCGTCTAAAGTCAGTTCACAAACAAAATTTAAAAATAAATGTATTCAAAACCGGACACGATGGTGAAGAGAAATAATAAAGGTGGTAAAATGGTCAGACAGAATCATAAAGGAATTAATTGTAATATTTCTGCGATTGTAGAATCAAGTGAGAGGTGTCTAATAATTGGTAATGCAAAATATAATTGTGTAAATATGATTGAATTCTTGATTTTTTTGTTTGAGTTTCTTGACATAATTGTGGTTAAAAATTCTTATAAAAATAGAGCAACGACCAGCAAAACAAATTTCGTCGACCCTACTGCTAGAAGAGTTAGAAAGTCAGACGTGAATGAATGAAATAGAAGTCCACCTGAAACGAAATCTGGCAAGCAAATTGCTAAAAGGGGAACAGCCGATACGAACTTGAAAATTTCTAACCAACATGAATTGCAACAATATACATATTCCGAAGTGTTGTGGAGATGCCGATCAGCACAGCATGTGATGAACTAGACTCACAAGTTAAACGGTGTGAAATGTCTTCTTAATAGCTATACTTGTCATGGTATGTTTTTATAACAAGGTTCGATTTTCAATTCTTCAGTAAGTTTCTTCAGTAAGTTTTCATAGATAATCCAGATGCTGGCTTCAATTTTGTGAGACTTATAATTTAATTTTAACTGTATACTAAAATACTTCAATGTTATAAATTCATTGCAATCTACAATAACTTTATTTTCCATATAAATTTCATAAAATAATACGCCAATATGTTTACATATTTTGAACTTCAATAAAGCGTAATTTAATAATGCCTCGGGGCATGTTTACCCTTCTCAAGAAATAGTAAAATTGATATTACGTTCAAGTGATTATGATTATTACTATTAGTAATTATGATTGATTGAAATATGTTTCAGAATAACGAACTTTGTTTACTAATTAAAATATATTAATACATATGTGAGTTTTATAGTTATATTAAATAAGTTTTATTATTTATTAAAAAACAAATTAGATTAAAAAAACTTCAATCATTTCTTAACAATTTAAAATTAAATCCAGTAAGTCAGTAACTACTAACTGTTGTTATATCCACGCTGTCCTCAAAAATGATTTTATATCAGAATTATAAAATTTTCACAATGATATAAGCTGGGTTGAGGGAACAGAGTAAGGACATGGATAGGTGGGATTGTGAGTTTACTTACTTGCACTTTTATTTAATTAGTAATAAATAATATGAAAGAAATTATTATTTTAAATTATTTACAAGAATAAATTAAATTTATAATAAATATTGCTCTAGAATTGCTTAATCATTAGAATTGCTATGGGCAAAAAAATATCTAATTTTCGATATAATTTTTTTACAATTTTTGTTTTTAAATATGCTTACTTTTCCTTTACTCTTTGACTAAGTTAAGATTTCTAGTAAATAAAAATAAATCTTTTGTTATAGCTTCATTGTTGTCTATTTCAGAAGTAGTTCATTTTCCAATACAAAAATCAGCAAATACAACATCTAATATATCTTCCGTTGTACATCCACCTGTTATGCGCTCTATGCATCTTAGAGCATTTCTCAATTTCTGTGCAGATATAGCTATATCCGGATAGGTGTCCGGTGTGTATTCATTTAGAAAAATATTTATGTGTTCGATGCATCGCTCTAGTTGTTGTCGATATCGGGCATGAGTAATACGTGGATTTTCAGATGTGGGTAAGCCACCACAACTAAAACAAATAAAAATAAATATTTATTAAAGTTATATTTACAAATATACGTGTATATATATTAAATAAATATAATATGGTAATGTTGGTTTAGAATTGTAACGCTCATTATTTAATTTTGAAATCCAACAGATTTCTACAGTCAGCTCAGAAAGGAAGTACGTGAACTACTAAAAATAATTTTTATTATATTTAGTATATTTTTATATTTAATATATTATATTTTATTTATATTTATTATATATTTTATTTTTTGTTTTTTTTTTTATTATAAACAAAAGTGTATACTTTTACTTATAGTTAAGGCATTCTGTTCGTAAATGAGTTATTAATTTAGGTAACTCTAAAATATACAAAATATAGTTTCTAATATTATCAATTAGTAAAAGATGTTTATATTAGATATTAACTGATTCTTTTCGGGAGTTAAAAACTGCTTATAGCGTTTTGTATTGTAATTCTGAACAAAATTCAAGATAGTCGTAAATTTAGCTTTATCTTACCAGCTTCAATTCCTTAAATTCTTTCGAAAGCATAGGGTCTACTTCACTGTTCCATTTAATATCACATATTTTTTTTTAATATTTTATTAGGGTGATTTTTTGTTTCATTTTATAGAACGTTTAGGGTACAAAAATGGAATTGTTCATATTTCTTTGTTTGTAATAAAGAAAACAATTATTTGTTTAACCCACAACTAATTTAATCTTGTTTTTTTCTATTTTGTTTAAGGTATAGGATATCTCTTTAATCAGTTTGGACTTGCTTGTTACAATATGTACTGTAGTAATCTAAGTCTGAAAATTAGGTAATAAATATATCAAAGCAATAATATTTGTATTTGATATTTATATTCATTTCTTATTATATGTAACATATATTCTAAATTTTAGAAGCTACCTGCATTACTTTAACTAATTTATTTTCTTTAAGAATAGTGAACGACTTCCGATATAATTGTCTAAAAGTTCTTGGGATACGTAAAAAAGGCTTTCCAAGAATTATAGTTTGCTCCTTGCCAAGGCTGACATTCGCACGATAGGCGAAAGTTTGATAACTTTTGTTTACATATTAATTAAGCATTTAAAATAACTCTTACGACCACTACAGCCTATAATGAGTTTTATTTTCATCTAACACCTTTCTTCCTTTTTACTTTCTGTATTGTTTATTGCATTTATTTTCCTATATATTCAATAAATTGTAAAAGACTAATATGATATCGGACGATATCCTATTAGATATCCTATATCGGACGATATCCTATTAGTCTTTGGTTTAATTTTAGTTGTGCGATCATATGTCTAGGCGTATAATCAAAATATATAAAAACTGGCTTATAAATATAATCGATTTATTTGTTATAATAAATATGAGAGTCCTGACTCTCAAAATGTAATATAATTCACGTAGATCCTGAGGCTATTATGATATGATCTTCACCATATCTTAAGAAGGTGATTATTTGGTTTTCGTTAAATACCTTAACAGTTTATTAGGTCGATAATACTCAGCTAGCTTGAAAGTAAATACCCTCTAACAAATAAACACTTCGTCTGGAGAAAGTCGGAAAATTGCATAATAATTACTCAATTGTTTATTTTATGTTCCCATACTCACAACTGCAATCGAAAACTCTTTACTGGCGTACATAATCTAGTCGCATGTATATGTTATCTATTAAATAATGACCGATAAGCCGCATAGAAGCAGATTAAAAACTACTCGTTTCTAAATTTTGAGGTGTCTTCATTTTTTTGGCGTATATTCAGTCTACAAAGACGCTATGCTATCTATAAATAATCTTCTGCTTTTGCACGTTTTTGTTCAAAATACTACTAAAGGAGCAAAACTTGGATACTTATTCCAGTTATTATGGTTTTATGTAAAGGAGAAATACCGTATAATCAGCTTTACTCTTTTTTTTAACTTCAATTTAATAATAAAATACTTTTAAATATAGTAAATAATTTTTACTTACATAGATTTTAGTAATTTGTCAAAATTTTCCATAAATGGTTTTAGGTTGAGTTCATTTTTGCAAGAAATGGTCAGTACATCAAGTGAGTTTTCCAACATATTCAATTCATCTGTTGTTAGCAAATCTATTTTATTAGCAATTAATTTCATTGGTTTATCTCTTATGTGCTTCATATCAATATCCAGTTGTTGTAAATAGATTTGAACGAAATTTTCCAGGCCTTTGGAAGCTAATAAATTTGATTGCTCCATGAAATGCTTTGCATCAAAAAGTAATAAAATTAAATCTGCACTTTCTATGCAGGCTTTTGCTTTAGTTATGCCTTCGAGTTCAATGACATCACTTGTTTGATTTCTCAACCCGGCAGTGTCCGAAAATATCACAGGAAATCCACTAAAATTATGTGTAGTTTCAATGATATCACGCGTTGTTCCTACATTAAATATAAAGTTTGATTATGATTGCAAGAAAAAATTGGTATGCTTACCAGCAATAGGTGTCACAATTGATATTTGACGTTGACACATTAAGTTTAAAAAACTACTTTTGCCTACATTTGGTGCACCAACTATAACAGTTCGCACGCCATTGCGTAACAATTCACCTTGTCTTTGGTCATTTAAATGTGCACTTATTTCTATAATTAAGCGCTTCAATTCCTTTGTTAGTTGTACTACCACATCATCTTCGATATTTTCATCTTCCGCAAAATCTATGTATGCCTCGAGATGTGCTGCACATCGCACAATACGTTTCCGCCAGTTTTCATAGAGCTTGGAAAGCGAACCTGTGCTTTGTAAAAGTGCCTAAATTCTTAGTAGCACACTCATTTCCACTGGTACTGTTTAAACTCACCTGCTTTCGTTGTGCCTCGGTTTCTGCGTGAATAAGGTCAGCTAAGCCCTCCACTTCAGTTAAATCTAGCTTACCACCATAAAAAGCACGCTTCGTAAATTCTCCAGGTGTAGCAGGGCGTAAACCTGGTATTTTACCCAAACCTTCTAACATAGCTGAAATAACTGCCAATGAGCCGTGCACTTGAAATTCGCAGGAATCTTCGCCAGTAAATGACGCCGGCCCAGGAAAATATAAAACTAAACCTTTATCGATCATTTCTTTGCTTTGCGGATGGTAAAATGGCTTCAAGCTTGCATAACGTGGCTTTGGTTGAAATTTTTCACCAATTATTGCTTTAAGTGCTTGCTTTGTTTCTGGCCCAGAAACTCTTATCACTGATACACCGCATTTGCCGTATCCTATACAACATTTGACACAAATAATACTTTACTTGAAGATTTATATTTATGATTTTTTTTACCAGAACTTAAACTGAAAATCGTGCTTGCACTCATCAAGCGAATACATTTTTGTTTATAAATAATTTTAGTAAGAAAATTCATGACCAAAAATGTTTGTTATCGAAATGAACACTTAACATCCACAAACCACAATGTTTCCGTTCATTTCCAAAAGAAAAATGGAACAAAGCGAATTGAAAAAATCTGTTTACAATTTGAATTTGAATTGAAAATCATTTTCGTGCCTATTAATTAAAACTAAATAATTTTTATATTTGAATCAGTACATAATCTTGCATTTATATGTAGACTTTAGATAGTTGGATATATTACTTGTGATAATTGCAGAAATGCTAAAGAAATTAATGCCACAGTTAATCAGTTTTTTGTTTATTTGAATAACAGCATGGCAGTTTAAATGGAGGAATTCAACTGGTTCGAGATGATTCTCTCATACAATTTTTATCAAAATAATATTTCGAAAACTTAAATCATGAAATCTATTAAGAAAAGGTTATGCTTACAAGCACTAAGTGAGTATAAAGCTACTTTGAGTACCAGACAAGCTTATCAAGCTAGGACAGATGAAACCTGGTACTAATATCCATTTTACACGAAAAATTGACATAAAAAATATTTTTAACCTAGAGCAATAAAGACATTATGGACATCGGCCTAGTTAGATCAGTGACCGAAATAAAAAATTTATTTTTAATATGGCAGTTCTCGAAGAAGTGGACTTCGCTCTAACAAAGACAGAACGAAAGCATTAATGTCAGGCAATAAACATATCCAGATATGTAAATTTATCCAGAACCTAACTAGGCTTTTATGTTAGGTAATTATCAATGTATCATAATTAATAAACAAAATATTTTATTCTTTCATAACATAGTTTAAATTAAGAATCACCTCTATAGAACGCAATATAGTAACATATATAATAACTATTTGACGGATACTTATCTATGTGAAGCCTGAATTTCAAAGTAATTTCATGTGGAGGTTTCGTAAAGGTATGGTACCGAAAAAATACATGAAAACTATCCTTATTAGTGACGTAAATTGTATTTTCATTTCATATAGAAAATGAAAAATTCATATGAAAAAAGAATTGAGTGATATGATATGATATATGATAACGCTAACGTGATAGGGTAGGAACTGATTAAAGAAGTCTTTGTTTTAATGACTAGGAAGTAGTATTAAGAAAACATGATGATCAAAGCAGTGCCATAAGGAAGTTCATCGCTGTACATTACCCATAAAACATATGCGACTTAAAAGATCAGAGATTCCAATATTTGATTAGTGGATACTTAGTTTCTCCACTATTTTTTTATGTAGTGTTATGTTATATCATAACATCATATATATCATATATCATAAGTTTATATAATTTATTTCAGTGATCTTAAAATAGTTATTATATACTACTGATTGGTATTGTATACTGTCGAAAATGATACCTGATGAAAAGTTTGAGTGTGTATGTTTTGTTTGTAATTGGGTTTTTCCACAAACCATTTCTTTTCAACCACAAACCCAACCTTATCGGTTGTGATACCATTTACAAAGACATTTTTAAAAGATATTTACAGTTTTTAACAAATTATATTGCAAATATTGAAGATTATTATTTGTTACCGGTGTTTATTTAAATGAAATGCTTTAGAACCATTAGTTTTAAGAGGCTGAGTTTCGTCCCGGATGGTGGAGTAAACTATCTGCTAAAATTTTCTTAACACATACATTTCAAGTTATGTGACTGTACGGATTAACTTTCTTTGAGGACTATTATGTACATGTGTGGTCTCTGCCAGCCAGTTCTATCTACCATCAAATTTTATGAATAATCACAGTGAAAAATCAACCCGATTTAGGAACTTTTATTCTAAAACTAGAAGAGATGCTTTTTTCTTCACTAAAGGTGATATGTATATTATCAGTGAATTGAAAAAACTAATGCTAAAAATATATAAGTATTTTTAAAAAATATTCATAGATGTTTTTTATATATTTATTTGTGTGTTTATTCCAAAAATTTGATACTATTGTTTTGAATGCAAATGTCAGTCAATAAATCTTTGATTCTTTACTTTCATATACCTAGGTTGTTTTATATGGTCGCATATTGCCGGTTAAAATTTCGAGGACGCGATACGGGCAACTTATAGCAAACTTCTGTACGCAGTTCACAGTTTTAAAATTATATTCGTTGCCATCATTAACAGAAGATGGTACCCTATATTTTTAAAAAGTGATAATAAACAAAAGTATATATATGCATAAAAAATATACTAACGTTAAAAGAATTCGAACAATATCTTCCATCAGCGATACACCATATGGTTTTAGGTAGGTATTGACTTCGCACATAGCTCGTTTTATGCAGGCCTTCATATCGAAATTGAAGCTAAATATTAAAGATAATAACAGTAATTTCGGTTTATATATTTTACTATATTACATTTTTCCGACTGTAAGTAATTGTTCATATATCTCACGTCGTTCTCTGTAATTTTGTGAGAAATGTTTCCATTTTGGTGTATTGCTCTTTGCATAGTAAACGTTCCTTTGACTACCAGGTGACCACATATTAGAGTATGTTCCCTTTCTGCGGTATTGATTATCCCTAAAGTTTTTCTTACTCACATATGTGGTTCTTTGTGGTGTTTTGAAAAATGGTTTTTTAAAGCTATTTTGTGCAGCTTGATAATAGTTCGTATAGTTTTTGTTCTGTGGATTTCTTTAAAAATATTATTTATTTTATATTTTTAGTTTAGTTTACAATTACCTTGCGTAGAAATTTTGTATTCTTTCGCGACTTTTATAGTAATTTGGCAACGAAGTTTTATAGTTATCAATTCTTCTATGATCTGTGGTCTTTAGCTCATCTAATGGATATATATACTTTTCGTACTCGATTGGTCCAGGAAAGTAATCATCAGCATAATTATAATATTCGCCAAATGTAAAATTACTGTGATCCAATGCATCCATAGTAATTGGTGGTGGTGTTGGTGCTGGTGCTGGAGTTACTACTGGCTCATTTTTCACTGCTTCTTTCTCAGCTTTTTCAGCCTTAATCCTTCTTTCTAGTTTTTTTATAAATATCGTGGGTTCCCAACCTTCAACAGTATCTGGTACTGCCGTATACATGTCGAATTCTACAGCATACAGGAGTCCACGAGGTTTTCCACCAAGTATAGCCTTAGCAAAAGAAGGAGTCAATAGAAGAGCTGCCCTCGTTGGAAAAATAGCAGAACGTACTCGACGTTTTAGTACGGTATTTCTAAAGGAATCAAATTGAGATATAGTTTCAGTGCAATTACAGTCTTCATCAGCATAACTACAAAAGTATTGTGCTATTAAAACCAGTGAGAAGAATATTTGACACAGTGTTCTTCTCATATTTTAGAAGTAAACAGTTTTATTTATTTTGAAACAAAGCTACAGAATTTGTGATGGAAAATCAACCATCCGTTCACTAATGATCTTAAAACAACACTAAAAAATTTTTCTGGTCTTAAATATTAAGTTCTTTTGTGGAACACAAATCATATGAGCTACGAAAAAAATTAATTGTGTTAATTTATTTGTCAGATTTTGTTTTAATACAAAATCTATGCATTTATCTTATATTTCTATTATATTAAAGTGTTTGTTTAGGCACAATTGAGGTTAATAACCCAACAGTTGTTCAATTTGAAAGCTGTGTGTATACGTTATCGATTGATGTGTTAAAGATGTGATGATTAATATATGGTACTCATTATGTCTTATGTTGTTTTCTTCAATATGAGAATCCTTGCTAGGTAAGGACTTCATAAGAGAAGAGCTGTTTAACAACTTGGGTCTTGAAGAACAGAATCTGTACAGACAGAAGAATTTCTACTGAAAGTATGGCTCACCAGTATTACAATGATCTATAATATCAGCATACAGAAAAGGAAATCAACGAATATGTACAAATTTCAGTCTACGAACTTAAATAGAAAAAGTACCTCGGATTACCAATATGGAATCAGATCAAAAATATCGGTGATTGATCAAGTTTTTTTTTACAAGCTTGTAATATAACTAGTATGATATAGCTGAGCATACATATATTATTCGATAACTTTCATGAAGCAATCGATTTCATAGCATAAAGAAATACTACAAGCACTTACAGTATTGGGAATCATAAAAATATTTTTAGAGTAGTAACATTAACCAAACTTTCAACCTACGCATAAGATTGATTAAAACAGAAAGCGGATTAAAGTAACAAGAAAGCTTGTCATCCAAAAATTGACTAAATCAGGATTTACTATAATGTATGCGGCGTGTGATTTAGTTTTATTAATATAATAATGAAGCTAGATAAATTAGTACAACTTTAAAGAAAGAAAACACTTTCTTTATATCAGCAAAAGCCAATAACCACAAATTATTTATGTTCATGGGAAAGCAGTGTTTCTACTGAGTTGCTTGAATCATTCGCAACATTGAATAGTCAAAAATTAAGTATATTTTGCTTTTAATAAAATCTAAATCATGGTTTATAGCTGAATTGCTGATTGCATTCTATCGCGTTGAAATGAGAAAATGAGATTTGGAATTCTTGGAACTAAGAATTGTTGATACAAAACTTTTCGCGCTTGGTAAACTGTTGCAGCTGATATATAGAGAGAACATTGTGTAAAAAGGATTGAAATATAAAGCACATATTGCAAAGAATAATGTGATCCGATCCCAGTAAAGAGTTTTAAGTATAGCCTAGCACGTACGGTACACAGAGGATGAATAAAAACATGTTTTTTACTGTAAAAGAAAAGGGATTAGCCATAGTTAGAGAATATTCGAGTAAGATTGCAGAAGAACCCTTAACGTTAACGGGTTGTAACGTTAAGTGACCAGAAACTTTTTAAACCAGAAATCAGGACTTTTTGCTGACAGTAAAACCGATACCCTTACTGACATTTTAACTCAATACATTGCATTGAAAAGGTTCTACTTGAAATACATATTCTTACCACTGGAATCATATGAGTCCTTTAAGATTAAGATTAATTATATATTTGCTTTGCAACATTTGGTTCACCATCACCACGTCCTGTTTAAATTTCAATAAAAGTTTTTGGTTAAAATTAAAATTATATATAATACATACATATAAGTTATATATGGGCTAATCCTCTCTTTTTGCATGTTTTTTATGATTTTCCAGTTATTATTCCGCGCAGCTGTTTAGAGGCAGCTCTAAATAGTATAATTGTTAGCTAGAATTGTTAGCACATATCTAAATGTATTTATAGTGAATCAAAATATTTACCTTGTTATTGAATTTATTTCTTCTTATCTTTCTTTCTACGTTTGGTCTTACGAATTTTGCGGCAGGGACTATCCTCAATGCTATCCGCACCACATCGCCTTGGGCCCTTTTCCTTGCAATCCTTGTTTCGTCTCCTGGACATTGAACGTATAGGGATTTGTGGTACATTTGTTGGTATCAATGCGCGACAAACTACGCTTGTAAGATTTGAAAGCGTGAGTTTAGGCATTAGAGTTTTTAGAAAGTTGGACATGACTGACATTTTGCAAAAATTTCGAACTTATGTGGCCGAAATATTTTATAGATTTTTGAGGAGAAAAATTTTGAAACACACAAATAATATTATATAATAATATGTATATTTTTTTTTAACTTTAAAAATATAAATTTTTTAACTTTTACTGATAACTAGATGCAAAATTTATTTAAGTTACTATTATAGCATTTTTATTTTTATTTTAATTTTATTTGATTATTAAAGAAAAAATAAAGATTTTTTTCGTAACCACGCTGTTAAATTTGGACATGCATTAAAAATAACATCACAGTCGCCTCCAGATCTTCCCAATAAATGCGCTTTTATATATTTTTTGTCAGTCGTTGGTATTTTAGGAGGACTGATCAAAATAATGTAAAAAAATATGTAAAGTAAAAGAAAATTAAAATACAGAATAAATAATATATAAATAAAAGAAAAAATAGTAAACTATAGCTTTGTCAAAGTATTTTTTATATAAACTGTCATATTTTTTATCAATTATTAATTACTGATTAATTTTTTCCTGATATATTTTAAAGTTCAACGCAATTCTATACTTATAAAAATAAGTATGTTCTATAATTCTTCTGTATGTTAAATAAACTTTCATACATTTGTGACGGTCGGGGTTTACATATATGCGTGGAGTCAACGTGAGAAGATTTAGAGATATGAGACATAAAGATTAAAATTATCAGGTGCGTTGAATTATTTTGGATTAACTAGAGAAAAGTGGATTCCCGTGGGATCGCCGGTATAACCTAATCTAACTAGGGAAAACTATTATTTAACAACTTTTTGCTCTTACAAATATGACGTTTATGAGAAATAAAATTTGGAAATGAATAAAGTTGATTTAAGAAAAGATTGAGCATTTTGTCGCATATCTTCACAGTAGTTGAATATTAATTTCCATTACCATCTTTACTTTTACCTTTAGCTTAACTAGAAATGATAATACACTATGGAAGAATCGTATTAAAGTGAACTAAAAACTGCGGTATTGTATTTCGTAAGCCCTATGTAATAAATCTGCACGGTCGTTACTATACTGAATGCTATTTGTCAGTTTCTTGCATCAAAGAAGGAATTTCTGTGTTGGGAGGAGGATTTAAAAATGATGCTCAATAATTGGACCAATACAACACGAATAGGTACACTACCACGAGTAGAATCACTATCTTGCTCGTTAAAAATGCAACAATTTTAAGAGCGTAAACGCAAAAATTATAAGATCTGCTCATAAATACTTCAGTGCGAGTTAGACAAGTGAATGATGTAAGCGATGTCGGTTTTAGTAATAATAGCGCCTTACATTACAGGTCAACATTACTTCTGTGTTCTATATTAAATAACTACGGCACCTTATTTCTACTATCGAGATTTATAATAAAGCTACTTGGACACTTTGTCATTTGAACGGTGAAAAATGTATGCAACTGCTGAGAATGGCGCCGCTGCTTATTGTGCACTGCTGAATATGATCTACAATTGGAACTAAAAAAAACCAAATGAAATACTATTTTTTAAATTGGATCTGACATCCCTTATTTTAAGACGCTCTAAGTATTCGTCCCACAGCTCTTACTCCAAACGTCGCTACTGGAAGTAAGGTGACCAAAAAGCTATTTCTGTGAGTTGGATTACCCGTCAAGGTAATTGGAGTAGACTTTATAATTTCGTATCCAAAATAAATATTGAAAGATTTATTCATTAATTAATTAGGAATTCATTATTAGGTTGAGTATCGAAGAAATTTTCACTTAATTAAGTAATAAATCATATTTATTTAATACGAATTCATTTTGTAAGTAAGTGTAGTAATTTAATTAAATAAAATAGATTCTGAATGTCCTCCACATATACGGCGTTCATATCCTGTTCCTACGCTCTTTAAAATAAAATATTTTACATAATATTTTATTTAATATATAATATAACATATATTATATTATTAAACCGCTTTATATATATGGTTCTACTGTGATTAGATAATGAGTGAAGGAGAGCTTTTTAATTATGTGTTGGAGTAAATAAATATTTTTCTGAATATTTAATACTATATTATATTCAGGTTTGTTAAAAAAATGTGCAATATTCGGATCGAAAAACACTTGGGATTTTTGAATAGTACTTACATGAAAATCGCATTTAAAAATTCATGATATATTTGAGTTGGGTTATGAGTTTTATCAACAGCAAATGGTCGTTTTCCAATTTCACATATAAGTTGATATAAACATTGTTCTCCATTAAGACCACGACTGCATGTGTAAACATAAAAAGTGTTTAATATGTAATTAAAAAAAATATATGTAAAGATGGACTTACTGTTCAAAAATGTTTTGAATAAATTTATATATGTATTCCCGACTTTCATCACGCTTTAACAACTTTGTGACACTATTATGTAGTAAAGGTACCTGCCAACTGAATTGACGCGCTGCAAATGTTGTTGAATTGAAGAAGTCCCACCAATATATAGGACGTGTTATTTCTGGAAATTGGAAATGAAATCCTAAGTAGTTCCCCATTGAACGCCGTTTATCGGGAAGCTTAACTGGTATGGAAAATCCTATAACGAGCTAGAATGAAATTATAAGAAAAGAAAAGAAATATTAATAAAAAAACTTAGTGGAATTTGGTAAGACTGTTATAACAACTGTTATAACAACTGTATTACAACTGTTATCTCAATAACGATAGATGGAAAATTGTTGTGTTATATGATTGATTGCAAGAGAGTGTATCCCTATAAGGCTATTGTGCATTGTGACTTTGCGTATTGATTTCTTTTTAAGTAGAGTCCCTTCCTGCCACTTCATGTGTTTTAATCATGAACTGCCAAATACTCGACTGGGTTTTTGACAAATTAATGTTTTATTGTATGTTAGTCATTAAAGTAATATCAGAAATCGTGTGATTCAAAATTACCTAATATGTGTAGCTGGTAGGTGTAGCTAGAATGCCTTGTGATGGTTTCCATAGAATTTTTGGATTGCATCTTAATATGTCCTTCCATTTTTTATTGTTTTTTGTTTTTGAATAGCAGCTTCGTTGTGTGTACTAAATAATAATGGTTCAATTTATGTTATAATACATTTAATAATGGTATTATTTTGATATTATGAGTAAGGTTGGGCCCAATGCCATGATAGACAATGCAGTTTTGATAGAGATCTTTTACAATAAAAACTTTCAGATGGTAAGGTTTTGACAGGTGCATATTGTGTAGTTGGATCTCTTGTTATAGTACAGCAATAGTAAAGCAAGTACAATAATATTTGGTGGGGATTGCTACAGGGGCTCCATTTTGCTACCTCAATGATAATTGCGTAACAGTCCAAGAAGCAAAATTATTTTAAATATTAAAATTGACTTTATTTATAATTTATTTATTATTTATTGTTATTGTTTTGTTAATATTTTAATTTTTAACATTAATTTTGTATATTAAATTTTTTTTTTATTTTGGTTTTATATTTTTTTAATTTTTATTTGACAGTCTCAATACAATGGCGGTGTACACACTTTTTTTACTTATTACTTTACCTTGCATACTCCTGAGCCGCTATAGATAAGGAAACGTTTTGAGCGGTCTCTTGAATGTATTAAATTGAATTGATAGCTTTTGTTATCTTTTCGATTAATTATGCTCTCCAGCTGAAAAGAAAAAAAATAATCATACATCATACATACCAACTGTTTCGGTTGTACTAAAAATAAATCAATGTATTTACCATTTTGTTGGAATCTGTGGGATGTTTCGAGTTCTTTTCGTAGCCACCATTACTGTTGGCATCATTTGAGCTTTTGTTAATGTTGAATTGGTCCACAGGAGTACAATTTGTTGTGCCGTACATTATTTGAGTGTGCTGTTTGGGATTTTCATTTAATTTATTGCCATTTTCCGTTAAGAAGTTTATGACCAGCAGTACCACTGTGGTCACTATGATGAGCGCGGTGCGTTGGAGGTCAATTGTAATTACATTAAGTACGTTAATTTGAAATTTATGTGTTTGCATGTTAATTTAGTTGGTTTTGTTTCATGCGGCCGAAGTGTTTACTGTACAGTAAACTGTTGTTCGGTGCAAAAATTGTCAAACAACCGCAACTTTTATTAATTGCCACTTAAAATCTAATAAATTTTTATAATGAGTTTTTTAACAAATATTCAGCAGTTTCAATAACTATTTGCGAGTGATGGTGCGCATGCAAATGATTTAAAGCTAAAAGTTATTCTGTATATTGCCCTGCAGAAATTATGCTTTAAATCAGGAAAAAACTGTTACATGCAACTGAGTTGCTAGATCACCGCAAAGTATCTATATTTTTCAAGTTGATAATATGTTAAATAAACTAAAATGCTTGCATTTTAATTTCTAAAGCGGAAATGGTACAGATATAGTAAAGAGTGTATAATTCAAATGTATGCAATTATCTTACAAATGTCAACTAACTGCATAATTTAGAAGATGCAAGTAAATACAATTGAGATAAGAATATTTTTATACATATCTGTATTTACTTTTTGGCTCAGTACCTAAATGTTTTTAATAATTTATATTTGTAATAATAATTTTGTTTTTATAACGGGCTAATTAGACAATTGTTAAATAATAAACATTTAAAAAAAATTTAGTTTAAATTTATATTAAATTATTGCTAAGGAACATTATAATAGTGCCCTAAAGATGACTAGAAAACATAACCAAAATGTTGGTTTAAATAATAAATTTAAAAATAAAAAAAAATTTTTTTAAAAAATTGGATTATTTAAAAATTGACTAATTAGCTTGTTAGAAAAAAATGTTTTTAAAAAGTATAATCGACTAAAGAAAGTTTGTAACTACATGCCAAACACTATCCAATCGATATTGTCTGGGTATAATGATTTATTAAATAGTTTATTGCAAAATATCACAAACAGAAGTAAAATGAGTTCTGCATTTGATATCATTGAATTTTGTTTTACGTAAATCAAATTAATATACAAAGAAAATAAATACTCCTTAGTTAAATGTTTAATTTACAATTAAAAATCAAATATAATTTTTGTGAAAACCTTTTACAATAATTCTTTAATAGTAACTATGACTAACAAGCGTGATATATTAATGTAATTTCAGGTAAATGTGAGTCTACATAGATTGACAACTAATAGGAATGAAAAGAAGGCTATTCTCTCCAATTAGCTGTAGTGCCTTTTCGACTTTCTATATATCTGAAAAATATAAAACTTTGTATTATTTTTAAAATTTATAGAATGGTTTTTAAATTAGCTTTTATAAATCTCGCCGTACTATAACCTTTCGTTCTTTGGTGTATCCTTAACTGTGCCTACTATTAAATCCAATATTTGTGAGTTTCGCTGGACTTAAGATTGTCTTTGAAATTAAATGCTTATAGGTATTATTTTTTGAAGCAAAAATACAACTGTTACTTTTTCATTTTAGCTTAAATACTTGTATTATGAAGTCTGAATATATTCTTTATATGCATATATTAAACTCTTTTATATTACATTCTTTTCTGTTATAAAGCGTATTTTAAGTTGGTTATCATATTTATTAAGTAACTGGGAAATTTATAAAATAATTAAATTTAATCAATTAAAATAATTTTTTTTGCCCGTCTTTCATTAAATGTTGGAAAATGAATTGTTTCCAGATGACTGGAATGAGGGTATGCTAGTCATAATACCAAAAGAAGGTGAATTAAGTGAATACCTATCCCAAGCAAAATCTTCACAACTATTAATATCAAACGTATTTATAAAGCTGTCGAATCAAACCTGTGCGAAAATCAATTTGGTTTTAGAACTTCCCGGTCATGTGTTGATCTCATTAACACAGTGCGGATAAAGCTTTTGACAGCTTTGGATTTTATTTGGCGGTTGCTAAGAAGGAGAGGTATGCCAATAAAAATGTTACAGATAATTAATGCAATGTACACAAATTACAGATTACAGATCCTTCATATCCTTCAAATTACAGATCCTTCATATGCGGAAACTCTCAGATCCGTTAGAAGTTTCTATTGGTGTTTGTCAAAATTGTATTCTGTCACCTAACTTTTTCATCTTAGTTTTGGATAAAGTAATGCTATCCACAATTAGTGGACGGAAAGGTATACAGTGGACGCCTTTTACACAGTTAGAGGATTTTGAGTACGCTGATGACCCAACTAAATAATATGAGTTCTTCATGGAACACAATATGCTGAGAAGCAAACAATAGAGTAAGAGAGGGTTTGTTGAGGTCCTATGCTCCACTATTAGAAGAGGACTACAGTAAGTATGTAAGTAAAATAATTTTTTAATTTGAGTTTATTGCCCTTTTAATACAATTTCATATAAAAGTCATAAAATTAAATTATTATAAATAAAAATTTATTAAATAATTTAATTTGATATTTATTATATAATTCAATTAAATATGAATATTCAATTGGAATTAAAATTTAAATAATAAATAAATTTATTAAAATATATATAATGAATAAATTGAAATATTTATAAACAATTAATATAATTCTTAAATCTAAATTTTTTGTTTCTTTAACAAAAACTTATATAGTAAATATAAAAATAATAAACTTATTAATAAAGCTTTATTTTTAATTAAATTTAATTTACATTACTTTATTCAATTAAATATTTATAATCATTTAAAATAATTACTATATATTAATTTTTGCCCTTTTCATAGAAATGCATTTAAAATATATAAAAATAAAATATTTTTTAATAAAAATAAATACTAAATTTAATATTCATTATTAAATTCAATTAAATATTTTTAAATATTTGTTTCTCTGCTATTTTTTCAAACCGTTGGCATGACTACCTACAATCGTTAGTTGTATTATTATTATTTAATGCCTTTCTTTCACTGTGTGATGTATACATATGAGTTGGGTTGACAGCTGAGAAATTTATACATGCTCAAGTCTAACGGCAAGCACTTTTCCAACTCTGTCCTTCTAGACTCAGCCAAAATTACTCACATCGACGAGTACCTCCTCTCACTCTTTCGAAGGTAACCCACGCGGCTCCACAACCTTCCGCTTGACATTTCAGCCCCTAGTACTTCTCAATACCTATTCCTTTACCTCGATAAGTGGGACTCTGATCTCTTCATTATCTCTCTTTTCAACCGAGGCTCTGTGATAGTCTATCACTAACACCCCCGCGCTTGCGCAATAACCACGCGCCGTCGTTAATACTTAATTTCCTTGTTTCATGCCCATGCTTTCTGGCTTAGATGAACCTAGTCTGCTAGGTATTAAGCCCCTTGCTCTAATTTCTCTCTTTCTTTATTACTGGAATGGACTTGTATCCGCTGCACGTGGCTGCAATTTTCCATATTCATTCCTAAGAGGTGGTTTTAGTGGGTTGAAGTCTCACACTGTGGCTTTCAATGCTTTCCACCTACTGCACAAAAAAAAAAAACAAATTTATACCAATAACAATTTTGTGTTGTGTTTATTTATATACACAAAATTTATTTAAATTGATAATGCCAAATAGTAAACTAGTGGGTGTTATTTGTCATACAATCAGTTCTACAAAGGGTATATCAATGAGAACATTTACAATGTCTTATTAATGCTTTAGTAAGTGATTTGAGGATTTATATCTTTTGCTACATTGATGGTTTATTATAATGTTCTATATCTATGTATAATAGATATATAAGTATATATAAACTAATTATTAATGTAATTACAGTTTATTTTTCTTTTTAAATTTATTTACGAATAATTAATGAAATATGGCTTTCAAATAAATAGAATTTATTTTAATTTTATTAACAAATAATTGTGCCCATTTAATCTCTAGGTCAGTGTTAAAGGGAACAATAAATTGCATTAAAAATGAAAAACCATAAAAGAATTTATGATTTATTATTTTGTATATACGTATAAATTAATATTAAAATAATCAGTAAATTTTTTGTTTTTCTTTAATTTTTTTGTTAAAAAGTCCTTATCACACGCCTTCCATGCACTCTTACACACTCATTTTACTGCAATTTATTACAACTTCGTATGGATTCTGCATGTTCCATCCAATTAAGTAAGTAGGTATGAGCTCAAAAAGAAAATAAATAATACGAAATAACATTAACATTAACAACAATAACAGCAAAAACAAATTAATAAATTATTAAAAATTATTGTGCAAATGCGAAAAATGAATTAAAATAAAATGCAATGAGTTGAGATGAATTGAGTGGAAAAAGTTTAAATAACAAAAATATTTTATACACAGAATAATTATAATTGCTATAATTAAAAATGTGTAAAATTTTCATGATAATCGCAT